GGACAAATGCACTTGCATGCAGAATCCAACTTCTTCCCCAATCGCTCTCTATCTTATTTTTCGTAGCTGTATTTGCTTATTTTAGGTGTATGGTGTCTTGCCTGCATTCATGCATAGGAACAACGTGCTTTCTTGTTGCCAGTGGATGTCAGAAGAAAGCATGGGGTTCCCTGGAGCTGGAGTTACAGATGGTGATGAGCTACCACATGGGTGCCTGGATCATAATCCAGGACCTCTGCAAGAGTAACAAGTGCTGTATGACCACTGAGCCATCTCTCCAACCCCTTCCAACTTCTTTTTCGAGATTGAGGCTCTCACTCTTCAGTGCTGGGATTACAGGCATGCACTGCTGTACCTGTTTGGTTTGATTTGGATTCTAGAGAACTGAACTCAAGTCTTCATGTTTATATAGCATGCACTTTACCAGATGAGTCACTTCCCAGCCCTAAATTCCAGGTTTATCTCTAGTACATTGGAGGCCAGATTGCCCCGTGTTCCCTCATTTTGGGAGCCATGACTCGCTCTAGGAGGCACTTATCACCAGTGATGGCCAAACCAAGGATGGACTCTGTCTAGTTGGGACTATTGTAATAAACATGGTGGAACTGGGAGGCCAGGAGTGTAGATCAGGGACCTGGCGTGGTCAGGTTATGGTGAGGACATGTTCCTGTTTGTGGATGGCAGTCTTCCTCCTCTGGCCTCATGTAACACAGCAGAGCAGTAAGGCAAGCCCACTCATGTCTCCTCTTATGGGGATGAGAGTCCCAGCATAAGGGGTCTTCTCTCAGAATCAGTGCTGTTGTCTGAGCCTATCAATCGGGAGGGAGCATTGTCAGCCAATCCATAATAGACAGTGGAGTCAGTGGGTATGCAACAGCCCAGCCAGGAAATAGCCAAGGATACAGGATAAATGTGGTCAAGATTAAACACCTTTCTCCCAGCCTACCAGCCTCTGCTCTTCAACTTCACCTGTTCCTAGATCCTGTTGGTCTTGCAGTCTTAGTCACTTAGGGAGGCTCATGAGAGCAGTCACATCTTCAGGGTCTAATCAGGTCCTTAGTGCCTTATGATGTTTTCTGGAAGTGCTGGATGGGAGCACTTGGGATAGTTGAGGGATGGTAGAGGAAGGATGGGGAGTCCCGAGGCCCATCAACAGATGCTCCCCTCTTTTTTGAGACAGGCTTTCTCTGTGTAGCCTTGGCTATCCTGGAATTCAGGAATCCACCTGCCTCCGCCTTGTTTGTTCTCTTGTCCACTGTGGTAGCTCGGTGGTCTTAGAGGTAAGAGATCCAGGAATGCAGGGAAGAGGTTGGGGACTTCCTAGGTCTCTGTGTAGGACAGGGGATCCCTCTGTCATGTGCAACACTGCCTTTTACTGCTATGAACAGGTTACTTGGCCTCTTTAAGGGTTGATGTCTTCATCTAACATGGAAACAATAAGATCCCTCTTGATTTGCTGAGATCTGAAGGACATTACTTTCAAGGAGGGGAGAGAAGAGCCCTGTGCCACTGATGGAGGCCAGGCAATGGCCCAGGGGGAGAGCTGTGTCCAGATAGTGTCATCCTCCAGGAGCGGCTGGGCACGGCAGCTCCTAGGGCAGTGAGATGTTCTCAAGGGGACAGGGCTATGGCACGGGGGAAGAGACGCTACAGAGCAAGGCAGAGACTTGGGAAACCTGCTCAGGGTGTGTTTGGGGGCCACTGAAATCTGGGGAGAGGTCTCTTGGAGGCCAGTAGAATCCTAGACTAGGAAATGCATCCTCTACCAATCCTTACTGAGCTGGAGCCCTCCTTGTCTCTGAGCCTCCAAATCCTCATCAGTTACATGGGAATCCCAACAGGGGCAACCTCTCAGGGCATTGTGGGATTTATACAAGGCAACGTAATGAAAGCTCTCAGCATCATATCAGGCATACCATGGCAGGGGCTGAGTCACATACACAAGCGCGCACACACATACACACATATGTGCACACACATATGTACACACACACACACCACTCTCACACACACAGCTGGCTCCCCCAAAGGAGCCCTGGTGCCCCCACCACCCTTACCATCTACCCCTGGAGGCTACAGCAGTCATACTCACGGCTGTCAATGTTCCCCGCCAGCTAATGGACCAATTTTTTAGCATTACGGAGATTTGGCCAATTTGGCAGCCCTGACAGAAAGGCACAGAGAGTGAACAGTTGCCTGAGGGTAGGGTGGGGTGGGAGAACTGAAGAGGACAGGAAGAGAAGGGGCTTAAGGCACTCCACCTCTCTGCCTGCCCCAGGCTGAGTCCTCATAGTCCAGCAAAGGGAGGTGGAGCCATCGGGGAGATTACAGAGATAATTACCCCCACTTACAGGCCCCTCCTGTGCTAAGCACTTTGCATATATTTTCCTCTTTTAATCCTCCATAACCCTATGAGGCCATTTCTATTATTTTCCCCATCCTTCCTGATGAGGAATTTAGGCATGAGGCACTGTGCTTGCTCAAGGTCACACGGCCAGAAAATGATGGGAGTTGGGAGGAAGCGTTGAGGCTTAAAGCCAGTCCTTCTAACTATCACTGGGCTCCGTCAGGCCAGGACACCCTTCAGCCATTACCCACCCTGGTAACTCACCTACTCCACAGTGTCTTAACCCCAGCACCACCAGCTTCTAAGGGCTCTCTATAGGTGGGGATCACCCCTGTGGCACAAAGGGGTCCTGGTCTCCTCTTTCCTCTGACTGAGGGTGTGTCCTCACCTCTCAAAACACTCCCCATGCCGGCACACTGCCGGGAAAGCACACTGGTGCCCCAGCCTGAAGCTGGGCTTCTCTCTCCTGCCCAGCCTGTAGGCAGGGTCCTCAACAGGCTGTGGCTTTCCGGGCTGGTTCTAGGGCGGTGGCCGGCTGGGCACTCCACCTCCCACTCTGGGCCCTTCTAGGAGCAAGGAGGCTGCTTTGCCACGGGGAGGAGGAAGGGGCTGCAGAGGGGGAGGGGAGATGCAGCCACAGGCAGTGGGGAGGGGGCTGCTGGGCTCTGTGCATTAAGCGATCAGAGAGCACAATATTTCATTGCCGGCAATCGCAGCCAAGACATCAACTGCTTGGGGAGAGCAGCCTTAAAAGCCTTTTGATTTTATTTCTTCCACTTCATTTTTTTTTTCCTCCCTTCCCTTGCTGGTGTCCTTGACAAGGCTCCCTTCCCCCTCTCCTGCCCCTTCCCCAACCTGGGCTCCAGTGGTCCTTAAGAGTCTGGCTGAGGCAAGCTGAGCTTCCTCCTTTTGCAGCGCTAAGGGCCTGGGAGGGCTCTAGTCAGACTCAAGGCTCGCATGTGCAGGAGTGGCTTGGGGAGACGTCTGGGCATCCTTGTGTACGTATATACGCCCCCTACCCATTGTGTGTGTTAAAAGTTCTTACAGGCACGGGCCTATGTCCACATGTGTGTGCATGCCTTAAATGTGTACATAGACACACTCACACACACACACACACAAAGGTCCTCACCCCCAAGTCACCAGCATGTGCCTACAAAAAGCACTATCAAAAATTAGAGATATTGGTGTGGGCGACGGCGTGGGGTAAATGGGGACAGCAGCAAATTCACGGGCCCTGGAGGGTGAGGAGAGGAGACATTCATAGGTGTCAGCCCAGTTGGGTCCTATCATGGACCCACTTATAGATCCCCAGGCCCTGAGACGTAGACTTGTGTAAGAAACAGGCACCGACTCACTACAGAGTGAACCAGGCCTGCTAGGTCACTGCAGGACACCTGGCCTGGTGCCCCTGACGTCAGCCACCGGGCCGTGACGTCACTGCCCCGCCCCCGCCTCTCCCCCCTCCCCGCTCCCGCCCCCCCTGGCCGGGTGCTCCATCTCCGCCTAATGGCAGGCGATGCAGAATTGCACATCTGTCTTGCCGGGAATTAGTTAATTGAATCAGGCGGCCCGAGCTGCCGCAACGACCTCAGTCCTGGCCCCTGGGAGGGGGCTGGGCACGGTGGGGGTAAGCTCAGACTGGAGGGCCTCCGTGGGAGCGCACCTAGGCTTGGGGGGGGGCGGGGGAGGGCGGGATGCAGCTGTGTATGAATGTAGTCAATGTCCCATTCAACCCTGCTCCATGGGGACCTGGGGCTAAGCGCCCCCAGGCGCTGGCTGAGGCCCAGGGTCCAAGAACCAGAGCTTGAGGGACACCCCGTTGGCTAACTGTGTCCTTGCCAGAGCACCCATTGTTGGCCTGGTGGCAGTCACTCATATTGACACCTCCCATTCCCTCCTCCCCCACAAGGACAGAGGACCAAACACTGCTGCTGACTTCCTAGCCCGGAAGTCTGCGATCTTTCCCTCCACGCTGACTGCCAACTTCTGAGACTGCACCCCAAACACTGGGGTGAGGTGACTGCCTCTGCCTGGGTATGACTGCCATACCCATCTTCGTGAACTGATCTGAAGGGCCAAAGGGCCTGAGCGGGACAGGACAAACTGGGCTTGTTCCGCTGTAGAGGCTCCTGCACATGGAGGCGGTGGGCTCATTCAGTCCCTGCCAGCGTCTAGCTGTAAACGGCGGATCCTCTCATTCAGTCCCCACCTTTGTGCAGCCCTTCCCAGGTTCAGATTCTTTGCTAAATGCTTGATCCTTGAACAGTAGCCTCCCCATTTCACAGATGGGAAAGCAGAGGTCCAGGGAGGGTAAGTGGCTGGCCAAAGACCTCAACAGCTACAATATGTCATGGCCTGGATTTGAACTCAAATGCTCTGGCCTTAAATGTCAGTCACTCTGCTGCTTTGCCTCCCCCTCCAAGGACCACTTAGTTGCTAGGAGACAGCAAACTGGTGGTTACTATGGGAACTAGGCTGATGGGGAAGGTGGAAAGAGTTGGTGTCCAGACAGCAACAGGAAGGCTCCAGGTGGGCTCCCAGGCTCCTTCCCCACCCCCTCACATGGAGGCTTTCAGCTCTGGGCTCTGGGGTCTAGTTCCTGGGGTCCAGGTAGCAGGTTCTACGGAGACCAAAGGGAGGTGTTGTGGCACAGGACAGTGCCTTGCAGACTAAGAACGCACTGGACCCCCCAGTGATAAGACAGGCGGGACATGGAATCTCACACTTCCGCCTCCACGGCTGGCAATGGCTAACAGTACAGACAGCACCCTCCTCTCAGGAAGCAAGAACAAAATGCAGGACAGGACTACCATAGAGCAAAGCCACCGAGAAGGTTCTAGAGCTGTCCCAAGTAGGGGCACCCTAAGCCTGACATATAGACTTTACTGTGCGACCCCCGGCAAGGCTCATAGCCTCGCTGAGCCTCTGTTAAGTGGGCACAGTGGCAGTGCCTTTCACATAGCATTTGGAGATTGCGTGAATGCATTCGGCTTCAAACAGGGCTGGCCGGCTCCAAGGACCACTGGCACTAGTTGCGTCTTCAAATTAGATGCTCACCAGTGTGCAGAAGTCCAGGCCACTGGGGACCAGCATTTTGTCCCCTCCTTTCCTCAGAAGCACGGTCACCTGTGTGCCTCAGCCCCTGCTAGGCACTGGAGGAACAGAAGCAGAAGCAACCTCAGGCCCTCCTACTGGCGCCACAGTTGGGGGGGCAGGGCATGGTAGGCTGAGGCAAGAGGATGAGGAGGGGGGGAATGCTGCAACTAAATTTGCTCATCCAGCCTGTCAGTCCCTTAATCTGGTCCCGGAGGAACAGCACAGAGGCTTCACTCTGGATGACAAACGAGGAGGCCTGCCCTGCCTGGACGCTGGGTGAGTAATGGCCTTGCATTAAGATATTAGGCCTGGCCAGGGGCGCACGGGAGGGGGTACCCCCCCTCTGTAGAACAGGGAATGGCTCTGAGCTTCGGAAAAGACTGAGCTGTAGGAGGGTGATGGGGGAGGTTCCCAAGGGGCCTGGGGAAGGGGCTGGGAAAAGACACCAGAGAGGGCATTGAGACAGTGAAGGACAGAGTGACAGGAGACAGGGAGACAGAGCCCCAGGAAGGGGTGACAGGGAGAGGAGGGAGAGCAGCCAGACAGACAAGGGGTGGGCCGCAGAAGGGAAACCCAGGGAGGAGATGCCAGGGAGGAGATGCCAGGGAGGAGATGCCAGGGAGGAGATACCCACAGCGTATGAAGGAGCTGAAGGAACATGCTGACCACCAGGGGGCGTCAGACTGCTGTGGCCGCTCTGGCCCTAGACCTCCGGAGAGTGCCACCTGGAAGCAGGGGGTCATGGCTGGTCCTTGGATGTCCCTCTGCTTGATTCTGAGAGGACACTGGGTGAGCCTGGCAGTCCTAGCAGAAGGGGCCTTGACTGTTAGACTGGAAGGGAGGGGCCCTGTTCCCATAAGCCCAGTACCTAAAGCAAACAGCCTGTGGCCCCCTTCAGTAGACGCCGGCTGCCCGCGGCTGGTCTCTGGGGAACAGGGCTGGCTGGGGAGAGGGCCTTGAGGAAGACGATGGGGCCAGACAGCGAGCAAGGTTTGAAGTAGGTACAGTACAGACAGAGGCCATCAGAACAAAAGGAAGTGACGGATTCCAGAGATGCCGTGGGAAGGTGCCCCTCCCCCTCTGCCTTGCAAGGGGGCATCTGAGTCCCCCTTCCCCATCAGGGCTCCATCCCCGTGCCGTGACCCAAGCAGGGCACGTGGCAGCTTCACACAGGGTGCCTCCTTCAGGCCCCCACTTGGAGAGCCTAGCGATTAAGGTTTAGTTTCAGGAACTCCCCTGTGAGCTGCCAAGAAGAGGCACATTCGATAGACTTCATAAGTGAACACTAATTTTATTTTCTTCAGGTCCTACCATGTCTGTGTAACCAACATGAAACCCAGAGCAAATCCCAGCAAACACCATTTTTCTCCTTCAGAGGGGTCTTCCAGCGGTTCGCATTCAGACCTGGGAAAGCATTCTTCTCTCTGTGCCTCGGTATGCTGATCTGGAAAATGGGCTTCCTGTGAGGCTCAGTGGAGTGAGCAGTCTAAATACATTATGAGGTCGCAGAGGTCACCCAGAATCCTAGCCTTCTGCGTGGATACCCTCGGTCTCCTCTCCAAGCCTGCAGGGGCACGCTTGTGCAGAAGAGCCAAAGCTGTGAACCTCCCAGAATAAAGACCGTCAGGCATAACTAGAAGGGGGGATTTATCCTAGGTCTAGTATCTTAAGGAGCACAGAGCAAAGATCTAGAGGCCGGCTACCACCACTGACCCGTGCTGCCCAGTCCAGCATCTCCCAGCTTCCTGCGTGCAACCGGTTTGGTGGTGCAGTCCTCTGACGTCACAGACTCGAAGCCCTTAAGGCTTGTTGAACAAGGCTCCGTGCAAGGGTTGGGGGTACTTCTCGGTTGGTGGAGTGGCCGCAAGCGTGCTCAGAACCCCGGACTTCCCACCGCCAGCTCCCCATAAACTGGGTGTGGTGCCTGTTACCTCAGTACTCCCGAGACAGGGAAAACAGAAAAGGTGTCCCACACCTCAGGAAACTGGCCCCTGCAGAGCTACATTTGACCTGGAAGAAGGTAATGTGGAGATGGAGGTCCAGTGTCGGGGTACTGAGGAGCATAAAGGCAGTCCCAGAAGATCTCTAGGCACAGCAGATGCCCCTCTGATGCGTACTTCTGAAGGAGTCTCCAGAAGGGCGGCATGGAGGGAGGGGCTTCTAAGCCACGCCCTCACAGTTCTCCTGCTCTGACCTCTCGGGGTTTGCCCTGAGTCCCGCTGCAGTTCCGGACCTCAAGTGGACCCTGCCCAGGATTCCCACCCCCTCACAAGGCCTGCATCTTTCGCACAGAGCCACCAGGAGGCGCCCTGCGCCTGTAGGTCCCCTTCCCTGCCGCCTGGATGAGTTAGGTCTGTGGCTGGGCGATCAAAGCCTCCGAGCAGCCCAGAGTCCCTGCCCCGCTTCAGGGCGACCCTTTCCTTCTCATACATAATGTTTCTCTGGTCGCAGCAGGGCTGCCACAGCTGAGCCGGTCACAATGCGGCAAATGTCCCACCAGTGAGCGGGTCATCAGAGCTTCTTCAGCACCCGCCAAGCAGGTACCCTGCTCTTTCCCTGAGTCCCCACCTGTGGAGTTCTCGGTCTCAGTGCAAGCTCTGTGACCATTGCCGGGCAAGGTCTGGTTTGGTCTGCTCTGGTCCCAGTCACAGATGAGTCTCAGCCCATTCCAGGTTTCCACGGAGCAATGGTTCCCGCGCCTGCTTTGTTCAGACTCATCCAGTGCGTTACCGCTTAGGCCTGGGTCACCGGGCTGGAGGTCAGGTCCTGCAAAGGGAACAGTCACCCAATACCAGGGCTTCTTCTGACTCCCTCAGTCTTGGGGGGAGATTCCACCTGGAAACCACCAGGAGGAAACCGGTCTGATTTTTGAAAAGTTGTTATGTTTTTATTGACTTGGTTTCTTTGAGTGTGTGTGTGTGTGTGTGTGTGTGTGTGTGTGTGTGTGCACATGCTGAGTGAAGCATGTGCTGGTCAGAGGACATCTTGCAGGTATCAGTGTGCTGCTTCAACCATGTGGTCTCGGGCATCGAACTCAGATCTTCCGGCTTGGAAGCAGATGCCTTTACCCACTCAGCCATCTAGTCAACCCCTAAAATGTATGTAATATTTTAAAAAATAATCTATTTAAATTCATTCTATGTGCATTGGTGTGGGGGTGTCAGATCTCCTGGAGCCGGAGTTACAGACAGTTGTGAGTTGCCATGTGGGTGCTGGGAATTGAACCCAGGTCCTCTGGAAGAACAGCCAGTGCTCTTAACCACTGAGCCATCTCTCCAGTCCCAAATGTATGTAATTTTAAATATTTGTAAGCTGGATATGGCGGTTCAGATGTGTAATCCCAGAATTTGCTATCTGAGATGGTTGCCTATGTGCCCAGCATCCTCATGGGGATTTTGCATAGGGGACACTGCCGAACCTCTCAATAGCCCAATGAAGGAGGACCAGGCTCAGCTCCATTGAAGAGACATGGAGTCTGAGGCTGGGGAGACCTTACCATGATGGGTTTAGCAGCTAACCGTATCCCTGCTGCCCCCGTCCCTTTTCCTAAGGCCTCTTTATAATCCCCTCCCACGCACAGGCATTCGGGTCTGCATGTGGACCCCCAACAGCCAGGGGTGGGTAGAACTCCCAGCTCAGGGTGGGTTTCTCTGCACCGCCAGCCTTGATGGGAGCCGGACTGAGGCTGGCTTTAGTCTTGGGGCCAGGTCTCCTGTACAGTGGTGGTATAGCGCCACGGTGACCCTAGCGGTTAGCGGCAGAGTTGTCAGACCTCCTTCCCGGAGGCCCTGCATCTGTGCTGGCTCTGTGCCTGGAGTGTCACTCTGTTCCCAGGGGCTCCTCCTCATGGCGGCTGCCAGCCTCCCTCCCTGCCTCCCATTAATCATGTGTGCAGGATTTATTTTCTCCAGCAATTTATTTCAGTAAATGCAAGCTGGGTGTGCCTGCAGGTGGGCAAGATGCTTCAGTGCTGCCAGAGTCACGGAGCCTGGCTTTATTGTCAGGGTGATGGGCATGACTCAGAAGCCGGCACCCCCAAGGAAGATGCCAGCCTAGCCAAGTCCTGCAGAGGGACACTGGGAACCCAGGGACCAGCCCCACCCTGCATTGACTCCATGACTCCCGGGGTCTTGCTGAAGAGTTGGGGGTAGAGAGGAGACTACGTCTCAGCCCTCAGCTTGACACCTCAGTATCCAGATTGGGGGGGTCTAGTTTCCTGATCCAGTACCTTCCGTGAGCTGCCACCTCCCAATACTGCCAGAACCACCCTGGAGGGAATAACCAACTAATGCAAAGCCCGCCGTACCTCACCACCCTCCCAGCCCCAGCCCACCTTCCTGGGTCCTCTTGTACCCCTTCATCTCCCTCTGTCCCTTTCTGGTCACTGGGTATGGCAGCCTGAGGCTGGATAGAAAGAGGCCCTGAGGTCAAGCAGGAACTAGGCCACTACAAGTCCTGAGTCAGCCCTCCCAGTAATCGGCATCATTTACAGGGCCTGGATCAGAGAGAAGGGGTTACAACAGCAGGGGCTGGTCCTCCCCCTCTCCAAGCCCTCTCTAGTTCCCTCCAGGACTCCCTAGTCCTTCAGTGCCAGATCCTAATCTACAAGCATCTATCTCTTCCTTTGGGATCCCCAAAACCAAGGCAAAGTGGCAGCCCCCCCCCGCCAGGTTGCCCTACCTATCAGGGCTGCCTCTAATGCTGCAGATAATTCCTGCTGTCGCAAAGCCATTACCCTGCAAATGGGTTGGCTTCTCTGTGTGTGTGTGTGTGTGTGTGTGTGTGTGTGTGTGTGTGTGTCTGCAGCAGGCAGAGCAAGAGCACCCTTTCCTGCCTTGCTCTCTGTAATTGCCTCCGGGGATTTATTGGCTTTGTGTGCTGTCCCACACCTTCCTGGCTTCACCTCTGGTCTATACCCCCCGATACCCACCTCTCTTGGTCCTTAGGGGTGGGGCCTGATGCTGCAAGCAAGAACTGGGTGTGGTCTGCAGAGGGACCCTTGCCATAGATTCAACCTCGCCAGCTCTGGAAGCTGGAAACGAAAGGAGAGAGTGTCTGGGGCACCCCAGGAGAATCCCAGACCACATGTCCCCATGCTCCGCCTTCATTTCTCTCCCTCTCTGTAATCAGGGGATCGAGAGTCCCATGAGGCACTGAAGAAAATCTGGCAGCCCTGGTCTCTCCCGTTCCTATGGTCCTACAGCACCGTGCCTGCCATTTGCAGGCCCCGGCCCCCGGGTGCCACGGCAGCTCCCCTAACTCTCTCCATCCTGCTCTCATTCCTCACTGCCAGATTTACCACCGAAGAGGAGGCGAAGCCTGGACACCACCCCTGCCGTTTCTAGAAGCTCTGAGGTATGGGTGCCAGAGGCAACCCCTGCAGAGTGGTACTGAGAAAGCACTGTGGCCACGGAGGCTGGACAGGGTTGAGGTCAGGAGAAAGGTCTTCCAGAGCAGACACAATCAGACTGATGTCTCCTCTTCTAGAGATATACGACTTCTTAAACAGTTATGGTGAGGGCTTGGTACACTATAATACCTGGAACTTCATGCAGTTGCCTTTGACGTTAATAAACATTTGGGGGTGAAATACCACACCAACAAACACGTATCACTGAGGCGGTTTCTACTTCTCATACTTTAAAAAATATTCTTAATGCTACCTGCTGGTTTTAGGCACACACCCCTCCCTCCATCAGCACAGGGAAACACAAGGAAGCAAGTTTAAAAGCAAAGTAAGAATGTGTCTCAGCTTCAGAAGCAAAGGTGCTTGCCGCTGGGTGATATGGTGCTGCATTTTTGCAGTGTTCCCAGTCCCCGGAGGCTGAGCTAGAGGACCTTGAGTTTGAGGCCAGCCTGAGCTGCACAGTGACACCCTTTGTCTTTAAAAAAATAAAAGAAAGAAATTAAACATTATTAATATTAATGAAGTGTCATTATTTCCAGAAATCTCATTTTGCATAGATGCAGATAGAAGTTTAGAGACAAACTGATAGAAATTAATATTGTTATAAGAAGGGTCCAACTGAAGATTTTTAATAGAATTGATGAAATTTAATTTTAATTTATGTGGAAAGCATGTGAAGAAGTGACCCTGAAGAGAGCCGCATGATGCCAGCGTGTCTCTTCACAGTCTCCCCGAAACTCACAGGCACACAGGATCTCATATACCTCAGCCTCGACAGACCTCAAACTCCCAAAGTAGGCAAGGATGATCTTGAACTTCTGATCTGCTTGCCTCCACCTCCTGAGTGCTGGGAGGACTGCCGCGTGCCCATTATGTGGCACTGTGAACCAAATCCAGAACCTTGTACATACCAGGCAAACCCTCCCCGGCCCCAGAGATGCTTTTCCCTAAAAGGACCATCCAAGCCAGACATAGTGGCTCACCTTTGTAAGCCAGAACACAGAAGGCTAAGGCGGGAGGATTGCTTCGTGTCTGAGGTGAGTCTGGGCTTCACAATGAGTTCTAGGACAGCCTGGACTACTGTTTATGCCTGTGTCTCAAGAAATCAAAACAAATAAAAAGACCATCTAATGTTAACAAAGAGATCTGAAATTCTGATCAAGAAACACATATTACATAGGAGGCAGAATTTGTTGCTTACTTTCCTCTTTGACAAAGTGCCTTAAAAAATAATAAAGCAACTCAAAGAGGGGTTTGTTCTGGCTCACAGTTCAAAGGCTCACAGTTCAAGTTCACAGTCCACCATGGCAGGGTAGCCATGGCAGTAAGAGGCAGCTGCTCACACTGGGAGGATTGTCCCACTCATCTTTCCCCTTTTATGAAGTCTGTGACTCCAGTCCTTGGAATGGCATAACCTACAGTTACGGTGGGTCTTCCTGGAAATACCCTCATGGATATGCTCATCCGTTTGTCTCCAAGGTGATCCTAGATCCTTTCAAGTTGACCAGTATTAAGCCATCATCACAAGGGGTAATGCACTGGGTGATTAAAACAAGCCCTGGAGGGCCTTGCTCTCTCCCAGCCACTGCCAGGAATCTGTTCCCCGCTTTTCTCCTTTTCTGGAAGTCCTTGTCATTCTTAGTCTGCATCCCTTTAGTCCCTGCTTGCACTGTCACAGAGTTTCCTCCTATGGCCTCTGTCTCTGTCACACTGAACTGAGTGCCCAAACCTCTTCACTGTTCCACTCAAGGCCACATTCTGCGATAAGGGTTAGAACTGCAGCGTGTCTTGTGGGGGGATGATTTGGGCCCCAGCAGGAAGTGACTCACGAAAGCTCACACAGGAGTACAGTCAGAGGCACAGGCCTGAGCTCTGAGTCACAGCCCACATCACATTTCATTGCGTCAGTTCCTGGTCACTCTGTGCCCTCCAGGCCGGCTGGTGCAGATGCAGGGGTTACTGTGGGAGTGGGACAGCCTGGCGGCTTCTTGAGCAAGTTCATCCTCCTGTTCCCCGCTCTGCTCCTTCTCCTGACGGAGTATGGAGGTCAAAGTCTCTTGGTTCAGAAACAGGATCTCACTGTGTTGCTGGCTGTCCTGGAACTCACGATACCAGGCTGGCCTCAAACTCGCCAAGATCTGCCTGCCTTGATGCTAAGTTGGGATTAAATGCCTGAGACACCACAGAGCCAGGGACTTCATGATGCAGGAGGGAACGGCAGGCCCTCTGTGCCTAAGTGAGAGAGGGGAATTCCCTCCCCCAGAGCATATCTGCAAAGAGGCTACACTAGTTGGCTTCTTGGGGAGGGCCTGAACCTCAAACCATGCTGCCACTCCTCCCATCTCCCCCCCTGTGTCCCCATCCCCCACCATTCCCCCACCTGAACTCATTCACAGCTGCCTCCTGAGAACCCACTGGGCAGGTTCCCTCCCACTTTCCCTCTCTCTCTTCCTCCTTTTAGAACGGGGCTAAGGACTTGTCTCTGCCTTTAGGAGGGTCAGGGTGGAGCTGTGGCCCTTCATTTGGTATGATACTATTAAGACAAAACACCACCCTACCTCTACACCCAAATTAAAATTTCCACAGGAATCTCATCCTGGGGGAAGAGAAAGACTGGTCTGATGCTGGCCAAGGGAGAACCCTGCCTCCCAGAGAGAGGTTTCACATTCCTCTGACAGTGTATAGGATCCCAGGAGTCAAGACCAGGATGGATCAGTGAGGGAAAGAACCCACGTCTCTGCCAGGCCTGCTCAGTTATGAATAATTGACTGTCTATTTAAACCTAAATCCCACATCAGCACCCTCAGAAGCAGACTTGGTGGGAGGGGCCACTGGAACCTTTACTTGTTCCCTGCCCAAGATGACCACATTGCATGAGTCTGTCTCTTTAACTGGTGCATTGGTAACAGGTGTCCAAGCCTAGCTCTGGTTATGAGAACCCAGTCTTTTGGTTATTATGAGACAGGGTTTCTCTGTATTGTTTTGGAGGCTATCGGTCCAGCCCAGCCTCGAACTCACAGAGATCCTCCTGCCTCTGCCTCCCAAGTGCTGGGATTAAAGGCGTGCGCCACCACCGCCCGGCGAAAACCCAGTCTTTTGCTTTAAAGCCCTCAGTAACACAGACTCCTCTCCCTCTGAGTTTGGAACAGATGAAGGAAGACAACCTCTTATTTTACTTAAGAGATGCAGTCCTGCTTGTGGCCCAGGCCAGCTTCCAAGTGCTGAGGCCACACAGCCATCTCTCCTCCACGTCCTGGACTTACAGGTGTGCACCACTGCGCTGGGGATGTTTGGGGGGGCCTATGATTGGGGACCCACATGCTGTCACTGCCCCATACAGGGTGGGATGCAGCTCAAAGCCACAGGGCAGTTTTCCACACCTCCTCCAGGTCTGTCCTGATGGGCTTCATTGTGGGGAGTGACATGCAGGGTGCAGAGGGGACACAGTGAGGGGGAGACCTTTAATGACATCTGTGTGACCCCTGGTTCCTCCCCCCCCCATTTTCCCACCTCCTTTCTTGCAGCCCCACCCCCACTCTCTCTTTCCTGGAGCAGGCCCGCTATCTGCATAACGCATACCCCGCTTCCATCCCCAGTACCTGTCCAAGAAGCTAAGGACTTAGAGATGGCCACAGACAGAAAGAAGGACACGGTGTGGGGCGGGGAGGTCCTGCACCTCCAGGCAAGGACAGGAGCGCGCACCGCTCAGCACAGGCTCGGTCCTGGTCGCTGAGGACAGCGTGGGGGCAGGGCAGACCTAAGCACTGCTCCCCTACACAGGCAGGCAGACCTAAGCACTGCTCCCCTACACAGGCAGGCAGACCTAAGCACTGCTCCCCTACGCAGGCAGGCGGCGGGTAGCTCTGACTAGTTTGTTGGGGGAGGGGAGGACTTCTCAACTTGTAGGAGACAGACCTGAAGTGACTGAGTTCACAGGTTCTGCCCCGTGCTGTGTGGGTGAGAGAAGGGTGTACTCCCTTCCAGCCAGCAGAGCCTTCAAAGCCTGATCTACGCCAGGGAGGTAGGACAGGGGTAAGATGGCCCCACGCTAACCACACTGCCCTGACCGGGCTAAGGCAGAAGCCCAGGAGCCACACCCCTCTGCTACTTAGTGTCATTAGAGTCACACAGCAATCCACACCTAGAACTTTCCCAGCTTCCTGAATGCAGTGTGGTGGTTACAGAGGGGGAAATGGGTAAGGACTGCGATGCATAGTCCTTTGGAAGAGAACAACAGCCCCTGGTCACAGTGTGTCCCAATTCCTGTACTTAAAACCTTAACCAGAGTGACCCTGTTACCAACACAAATGGAGGTGCCAGGGGCAGTGTTTTGTCTTTACCCAAGGGCTCCGCCCTACCCCAGGTGGTCACTGGGTACCAGGACAGCTGCCTACTTATGGCCCTTCGCTCATGGCTCCCTACTGCCAGATCAGGGTCACAGCAACGGAAAACAATGCTGGACTGACTGAGCGGACAGGGACAGGGGTCTGAGAGGCTCAGAAGCTGCCGGGCCCTGAGCTCCCTGAACTGGGCCACAGTGGGTCCTTTCATCTCCCGCCTTTGCCTCCTCCCGCTACCCCAGTGCAGCAATTACGGCGCAAATTAGGATACTTTGATCATCTTTAGAAATGGCCACATGGAGGAGGGACACTGCCAAGCAATTAGGGGCAGGGGGCTGGCAGTTCAGTGGCTTGCTTAGGGGGTAAGAATGCCCAGGACACCCACCCTATCCTTTGCTCTCCTCTCTCCCCCCAGCCTGCCCCCAGCACAGCAGTGAACTCCCCAGGGGGGCAGAAGCAGATGGGGATCCCCCCTCCCAGCCCCTGCCCACCAGTCTCCCTCCGCCTGGCCCCCAGCCCAACCGTCAGCTCTTCTTCCCCATCCCGGGCCCTTTGAAGCAGCCGAGGTAACAAGGGCTGCTTTGAGGGAAGTGGGGGGGGGCTCGGGGGACTCGGAGCTGGGATGATGAGACTTCAAAGGTGAGGGTCGAGCCCACTACCTCATTCCCTTGCCCAGTCCTGGCTGCCCTCCCACGCACCCCCCCTCCCCGCTTCTGTCCTCTATATAGCCCCCTAGCACCGGTTCCCTGAGAGCTCCCCCGATGTGAGGGCCAGGTGAGGTGCGGACCACTGGAAATGGGTAATTTAGTGTAAGACAACAAACAGATCAGGCGGTTTGTGGGACACACATCCTGAGCCCCGGGAAGAATCACAGGAGAGGGTGGACTCCAGGAAGAGGACAGGGTCTCCTGCCTTGGCCCCAGGTCACCATGCTGCTGGCTATGCTGCTGCTGCTGCTGCTACTGTCCCCAGACTCCCAGACCGCCCATGGGCATCCACTGTACATGCGCCTGGCCCCCAGCACCCTGCAAGGTGAGCCGGGCCGCTCTGCAGAAGAAGCTGGGATGGGAGGGGCATGGAGGAAATGAGATCCCAGGCAAGAACTTGTCACTCACATTTATGAGGACTTGCGACCCCTCTACGCCCACCTGCTGGGAGGAAGGGCCTGGAGTTGGAATATAGGAGGGAAGGAGGGGGCAGATGTCCTCACCCAGGAAGCAGAAGCAGCAAGCGCTGCCAGGGGCCCCACAGTTAGCAAGTTAGAAGATCCAGGCCCAAAGACGGATACCTCAAACCACATTTACTGGGTGTCAGTGGACTGTCATTTTCCTCTGAAGTCTTTAAGAAAGAAACTTTTCAGAGATTCCAGCCCAATTCAACTGAGCAGTGGGAACCATCTGCCCAGAGAGCTGGCCCTCAGGCCTGGCCCCTCTCCCTATCTCTACAACCCTGGTGCTCCAGGAGCCTACCCTGCTTCCCCACGCTCTCCCTAGACAGGGTTCGGGAAGTATGAGGCTCTCTGTCAAGGAGATGTGACTTTGTGTTCCATGTCCCAGCAGTTTTGTCTGCCCAGGGGACTCAGGCATTGCAGGCTGCCCAGAAGCGCGCCCAGTGGGCCATAAAGCGTGTGTTGATGGAGATCCAGCACAGACTGCATGAATGCCAAGGTTGTACCAACAGTGCTACCCTACCCACACCCCAGCAAGCTCATGCTATTACAGGGGACTCATTCCCTTGCCCATGCCCACTCCTTATTTTTAGGTTCCATCCTCCTTGGGGTCAGACGAGTTTTGAAGGTCCAAGCTTGAGGCATAGCAGGGAGGTGGGGACAGTGTGGGCTCATGTTCACAGCTCAAGGCTGTGTGCTATTGGGTGGGCCAGCGGGGAGTGGTTGAGAGACAAGGCTCAGACCCAGCATAGGGTGGAGGATCCGCCAGAGGGCGGCAGTGAGGCTCTAAGTATTGTTTCTCAGCAGGATCCGGACGCCCCAGACCTCAAGCTGGCCGTCTCCAGGACCCACCCGAACCAGGTGAGACTAAAAGGCTCCAAGGAGCAGGGCTGAGAGCGAGGTGGGCCTCAACGTGAAGGCAGCTAGAAATTTTCCTTCACGACGCCGTTTCTGCCATTCTAGGACCATGTGGCGAAAGGCACCAGGGCGTTGCCAACGTGACCCGGGCTCACAGCCGTATAGTCGGGGGCAATACAGCTCCATCCGGGGCCTGGCCTTGGCTAGTGAGGCTACAACTTGGAGGGCAGCCTCTGTGCGGCGGCGTGCTAGTGGCTGCGTCCTGGGTGCTCACGGCTGCACACTGCTTCTCCGGGTACGTCGTCGAAATCCCAGGCACCTGCCCAGCAGGGCTACCCAATCCGGAAGGAGTCTAGCGCCCATGGGCCAAAGCACAGCAGAGCAGGTCTCTGCTGCCCCCTAGCGGAAGCCGGCTCCCAGTCCTTTTGAAGTCTCAAAAGGCGAGCGAGCGGCCCGCTGAACCCAGGATGGGAGAGGGGGCACCACACCATGCATTCACCCACTCTGGGGGAGCCTCCCCTTCCGAGGCCTTCCTCTCGGCCCCTAGGACCACAATAGCCACATTTGCAGGCTCACTGTACGGTGCGGGTACCTTACAGCACCTCCGTCCCTGATATGTCACCTTCTGCTTGCTCAGCAGTGCCTCAAATGAGCTTCTTTGGACTGTGACGCTAGCCGAGGGACCCCAGGGGGAACAAGAAGAGGAAGTGCAGGTTAACCGCATTTTGCCCCATCCTAAGGTGAGAAGACACGCCCTGTGTCCTCATAGCTGGGAACAGCACCCCCAAATCTCTTCTTTGACCTTGTACCACCACCCGCTCTCCAGTTTGACCCACAGACCTTCCACAATGACCTGGCTTTGGTACAGCTGTGGACGCCGGTGAGCCCAGAGGGGCCGGCGCGCCCCATATGCCTACCCCAGGGCTCTAGGGAGCCTCCTGCCGGTACCCCCTGCGCCATCGCAGGCTGGGGGGCCCTCTTCGAAGGTATTGCCAGCTGGAGCCTGGGTAAACTGAAAGCAATGGTGGTAGTGGGCGAACCAGAGAGCCAGTAAAGTAAGCCAAGGAGATGAAGTTTGGGGAGTGGGATGAGGGGCACTAGGATGATGACAAGCTCACAAACAGGGAGGAATCTAAGAGAGCCAGTGAGAGCATCTCAAGACGCAGCTCTGCCCTCCAAACCCGGACCCCTACATTCTTTCCTCTAGATGGGCCTGAGTCCGAGGTGGTGAGGGAGGCCCGCGTTCCGCTGCTCAGCGCAGACTCCTGTCAAAAGGCCCTGGGGCCTGGATTGCTTCCCAGCACCATGCTCTGTGCTGGTTACCTGGCGGGAGGCATCGACTCGTGCCAGGTATGAACTCAAACTGACAGGGGGCCTTGGATGCGCTGCTCCCCTTGGCGAGATAGTCCTCTTCTTTTGGGGGTCTGGCTGATAGCTCCTACCAACCGCTAAGTCTTCCTTAATCAAATGAAAGCACGTGGTAAACACAGAAGCAGTCAGAGCCGCCTTCCCTACCAGGAACGAGACAGGAATAACTCAGAAACATGGTGAATTCACTGTTCTTTGTTTACTCTGGTCCCTTAGGGTGACTCCGGAGGTCCTTTAACCTGTCCCGAGCCCGGCCCGCACCCCAGAGAGGTCCTCTTTGGAGTCACCTCTTGGGGTGATGGCTGTGGGGAGCCAGGGAAGCCTGGTGTCTACACCCGTGTGGCCGTATTTAAAGACTGGCTGCAGGAGCAGATGAGCGGTGAGCAGCCCCTGCCAACAATGGTCCCTCAGACAGCCAGACTCTCTGGACAAGTCGGTTTCCACCCCCTCTGCTCTGATCTTTGGAGGAGTTGAGGATGAGTGACTCGTAGGCCCACACACAAGGGGTGCTATCATCTGCTTGCAGCGGCCCCCTCCACTCGCGAGCCTAGCTGCAGAGAACTTCTAACTTGGGAGTCCCCGGAGGAGGAAGCGACCCCGGATGCCCCGGGGCTCTGCGCCTTCTACGCGCGCCAGTGCCCGGGGGCCCAGCGCTCCTGTGCACATCTTGCGCTCCAGCAGTGTCTGCAGCGCCGGCGGCGGTGCGGTCAGTACGGTTCTCCTAGGTCGGGGTAGGGGACCGGGCCGCCCTGGGACGCTCGCTCAGACCTTTGTCCCAACCTCAGAGCTGCGGTCGCTGGCTCACACGCTGCTCGGCCTGCTGCGGGGCGCCCAGGAGCTGCTGGGACCCGGGCCGGGGCTGCGACGTGGAGTTCCCGTGCCTGCTCGCTCGGCTCCGTCGCTCCGGGAGCCTCCCGGCCACAATGTCCGCGAACAGCAGTTGTACTCAGGTATCCCGTGTGCCCCAGCCAGGCCCTAAACCCTACAGACACGGGGTTGTGTTCCCTAGCCGAGGCGTGCATCCTAACCACGTAGTCTCCCCCAGGATCGCGAGTTGCAGGAACCTGGTTCCAGAAGCCAAAGCCCGAGCGCCGCACGGAAACAAAAGGTAATGTTGCCCCCTGCCGGCCTTGTAGAGAGGTGGTGGGATTGTCGCCTAGAAAGCCCTAACAAGACCGTGCGCTCTCTCTTGGGGAGAACAGATGACTTTTTAGGAAGACTGACACTGAGCCCTCGTTGGTGTCAGATAGAGGCATTCTGCCTTGCATGACCACGGAATCTCTGCCAGCCACAGTTTCCCTATTTGGAGCCCTCAAAGGAGGCGGGCACTGGAATGTCCACCCCTAGCACCCTCTGTTGTCCGTTTTCTGATAGTTTGGGGATCTCCCCTTCTTGCAGGCTGCCCTGGGTTGGAGCCTCTGCAACAGAAGTTGGCTGCCATTCAGCGAGCACATGCGTGGATCCTACAGATCCCGCCTCAGCACTTGGCTATGAACTTTCACGAGGTAGGTCCCCAGGCTGCTCAAGCTCCTTCCCAGTGGCCTGGGAAGGCTCACCTGACTGGAGCTCCGTGCAACAAAGGGACAGGGGGATCCAGCTTTCTGGGGTGGTGAGCTGGGATAACAGGTGGGTATGAAGAGGGGGGGTAAGAGGAAAGAACTCATATGGATATCCACCTGATCAGAACATTGTGGAAACTTCGGGAAGAGAAGGGGGGAGGGGCTAGGATCTAAGTGGGTTCCTAGGCTCCAGGAGGAGGGAATGGTCCCCGGGTCAAAACTTTCAGGAGTGGCTTTCCCTCTCTGCAGGTGCTGGCAGATCTGGGCTCCAAGACACTAACAGGGCTTTTCAGAGCTTGGGTGAGGGCCAGCTTGGGGGACCAGCGTGTGATCTTCAGTGGCTTGGTGGGCTTGGAACCTTCTACACTGGCTCATAGTATCCCGCGGCTGCTAGTGCAGGCCCTGAAGGCCTTCCGCTCAGTTTTCCAGACAGAAGAAGAGCCCCAGGAACCCTGGATGTATGTGGGACAGGGACAGGGGCAGGGAAAGGAGCACCACCGCCAACTCCAGCCTCTTGTTCCCTGAGTCAAGAAGCCCTGTAAAGGTCACACTGTACCCAGGGCTAAGGAGGTTGTATGAGATATGACAAACTCTCACGATCCCAGTTGATCTTGTATGTGTGGACACAGTGGGGGTCCTGTACCTCACATGTCTTCCCAAATGTGTCACTAGACACAGCTGCTTTAATAAATGTTATTTATAATCTACATTAAAATCTGGGGCTTTGTTGGGATGGGGCATTAGATGGGAGAGGGACAGGGGACAGCCTCCAGAAGCAGTTAGCAGAGACAAAGGAGCTGGGAGGAGCCAGGAGTGGTGGCTTATGCTTGCATTTAGCCCTCTGGAAACTGAGGCAGGAGGATTGCTATGAGTGGGGAACGTGCTGCTCAAGCAGAAGGACCTGAGTTCAGGTCCTCAGCACCCAGGTAAAAGCCATGGGTGCAGCAGCGCACCTGTAACCCCAGCCCTGGATGAGGAGGGGACAGTGGGGACAGACCCATCTCAGGAGTCCGCTGGCCATCCTGGCTGCTCCGGTCAAGCTCTAGGTTCAGTAAAGAGTCTCTGTCTTGAAAATTAAGGTGGAGGGGTGCAGCTGGATTCCAGCAGCAGTGACAGGGTCTCCGTTCTTCTGTGGCTTTTCTTGTCTCCCTCTCACTTCCGGAAACATGGCCTCGGGTGTGACTGTCTCAGGTGACTGCTCAGTGATATGAAGGTGTGCAAGCCGACCATGGCAGGGGGAGTGGACAGCAAGACTGTGCTCTTCTGCCTGAGTGAGGAGAACACCATCCTGGGGGAGGGCACAGACATGTGGCAGGCGATGTGGGCCAAAGCTATGACAAGATGCTGCCAGAACAGGACTGCCACTGTGTCCTCCACGGTGCAACCTATGAGACCAGTGATGGCAAGAAGGATGACCTGCAACTCATCTTCCGTGTCTCTATGAGTGTCCCCCACCCCTGTATATGAGCAAAATGATGCGTGTCAGCTCCAAAGATGTCATAGGGAGGCTTACAAGGGGCTAGCAAGAAGTACAACAAATGAGCACAAATTGATCAAGGACAGTTGCATCCTGGCAGAAGACACTGACAGCACTGTCATCTCCCTGGAGGGCAAGTTCAGGAGCCACCTCCAATCCCTTGCATAGAACAAAGGACAGCCTCAGACCTGCCCGTGGGTATTGCAGGCAACTCCATTCTTGCCAGATCCTCCGGGCATCCCTTCACCCCATGACCAGACAGTCTCCCTGAGCCCTAGACTGACAGCTTCCCTGTATTTCTGATGGTTCTACCTTTCCTAAGTTGCTTTCCTCTTGTGTAGAACAGATCGTGATGTTCCTCCAGGTACCCAATCTGATGATGGGTTGCCTTCTTTTAACATCTATCCCTACTGCCAACTTCTAATGAGAGTCATTACTCTGAGTGTAACTGTCTAACTCAGGGTGTAAAGGGAAAGTTGTGGAAATAACCCCTCCTTGCCACAGTGGGTTCCCCTCCCTTTTTCCTTGGTCTTGGCTACTCATGGAAGCAGCAAAGGTAAGGGACCTTCAGTTGAAATTAAAGAAAGAAAAGAAAAGAAATGGGCCAGCATGATGGATTAGCAGGTAAAGGCACCTGCTGCCAAGTCTGGCAACCTGAGTTTGATTACCAGAACCCACATAGTGAAAGGCAAGAATTAATTCCTTCAAGTTGTCCTCCGACTTCCACACATGTGCCATGAAACAAATACATACACACATATGCACATGCACACACACACAGTAAATAGATTTTTTTTTAATTTTTAGAGACGGGGTTTCTCTGTGTAGCCTCAGCTGTCCTGGAACTCACTCTGTAGACCAGGTTGGCCTTGAACTCACCTGATCCACCTGCCTCTGCCTCCCGAGTGCTGGGATTTAAAGGCATGCACCACACCGGCCTAACTAATAAATGTGGTGTTTTTAAAGACAAAAAATGCACAAGTAAAGGGGGAAAGCTATCAAGATAGCTCAGCCAGAAACAGCGCTTGCTTAACAGGCCTGGCATAACCTGAGTTCACCTCCAGAACCTTCTGTATAAAGGGAGAAAGAACCGTGAGTTATCCCCTGACCACATACTGTGTTGTGTGCACATCCACCCTCTTGCACAAACACTAATATTAAATGAGTAAAAATGTAAAAACAGATAAGATGGGCAACCATAGACTTTGATCTCCACAGGCCCACACACAAGCACAGACACACATGTATACATATACACCAGACACGTGTACACACACCATACACATACACCACATGCACAAAAGAAGCCGGAGGCAGGGCAGCTGCTAACATGCCTATTACCTCCCAAGTGGCAGCTGCTGGCCTATGTGTCACCCCCCATCCATGGCTGCCAACATGGATCACACACACACACACACACACACACACACCATGTGTCCCCCCCACCCTACCAGCCCCCATCCTCTCAGCTGTCTGTCACAATCCCTGTCCCAGCCCCCACCCTCTCAGCTGTCTGTCTGTGACAATCCCCGTCCGGGATCTTTGCATCCTGCCCTTGGGCTCTTGCCCTAGCTGGCAAGCCCACCCCCTCATCACCAGCCTTGAAGTGTCAGATTGCGTTTCCGGCTTCTTCTTTCCAAACCCCGGAGCCAGCCCGGCACCTGTTCCATTGCACAGCCAACAGACTGAGGGAAAGACATAAGCCCTAGTCAGAGGTGGGGGATGGCAGGGCTTGGGCCCACACTGGGGCTGCTGGCTGCCCTTGTTGTATGTGGTAAGGATGGCCATGACTCCCTTCCTGGGGGTTCTCGATGCCCACCTGCCCCCCCATCATCACTGCATGGTCCCTTCCCTAAGATTATGCCTAATTCCCACTCCCACCAGAGCCTAACTGCAGGTATCCCACTCAGGGAGCAGTTGGCTTCCCTTTGTTCTGCCCTGACCCAGCAGGACCACAGCGAAGCTTCCTTTGTGGGTCCGGTGACTAGCACCCTGTTTCTCTCCCCAGCCCTCCCAGGCAGCTGGGGCCTGAACGAGGAGCAACGGCTGATCCAGTACCTGTTCAAGGAAAAGGACTACAAGAAGGAACTTCGGCCGGTGGCTCGCAAGGAGGACAAAGTGGATGTGGCACTAAGTCTCACTCTCTCGAACCTCATCTCCCTGGTGAGTGGACCATCCTAGGCTGGGTTGGGCTGGGGAGAGGGAGGAGAGAAGAGACAGTTGCTCTCGGCTGACCGGCTTCTCTTCCATGGGACATGCCTGACTGCTCTCCATGCTGGATGGTGCCACAGGCCATCCAAAGCCATGAGCTCTGCCTTCCACTGTCACGGCTGGTCACTATGCTCCCCCAGCACTCACTCCAGCGCCTTGTGCCTCTGCTTCTGCAGTCTGCCCATGGACCTCTATTCGCTGCTCTAGCAGGCGCTATCCCGTGCAGCTGCCACGGTCCCCTGACACCGGGCAGATTAGTGAGTGGGCTTGGGTGAAAGCTCTATGGGAACCTTTGGGGACAGCCCTCTTTTCTGATTACAGAAAGAAGTGGAAGAGACCCTCACCACCAACGTGTGGATAGATCACGTAAGGACACCCTGCTGAAGGCTCCTGTCCCCTGTGCTCACTTCTGCTAGGGATCCACAAGACCCTGCCAACACTCCTTTGGGAGAACTTGACCACAAGAGTCCAGCTGCCCTTTTCCACTGGGGCCTCTGCTAGCTCCAGGGACTTGTCCAAGAAGACAAGGGTTTCCTCTGTGCTAAAACTACCACTCTGTCCTGATTTGTTTTGTTGTTGCTTTGAGACAGGGTTCTCTGGCCCTATTTCCCTGGCTGGCCTAGAACTTACGGTGTAGACCATGCTAGCTTCAAACTCACAGAGGTTCATTTGCATCTGCCTCTCGATCACTGGAATCAAAGGTGTGCACCACCACATCAGCCCCTATTTGCATTAGAAGTGGTAGAGGTTCATAACATCAAGACAAGCTTGCCCAGGATGGAAACTGCTCCCTAGTGGTGTAATACAAATCCTGCACAACTGTCCATGACACGCCTGAGTCTCACTCTTTACCCTATCTCCCCCAAGTTTCTTTTGTCCCAACTCCCAGGCTTTGCTCCATCTTCCCTAGTGAGGACCACTGGGGAGGGTGGGCAGTGGCAGAGCCCACTTCTGATGAGCCCTTTGGACTTCTAGGCCTGGGTAGACAGTCGGCTGCGATGGGATGCTGAGGACTTTGGGAACATCACTGTCCTGCGCTTGCCCTCCGACATGGTGTGGCTACCGGAGATTGTGCTGGAGAACAAGTTGAGAAGAGCCCTCCCCCATCCTGCTTCCCCTCCTATGCCCCTTAGCCTCCACCCCAAACCCGCCTGCCCACCCTTCCTCCCCTGCCTCCTCTAGTCCTGCCAGTTCCTGGCTCCCAGGGCACACAGTGATCATGGTCCCCATCCTGCAGCAATGATGGCTCCTTCAAGGTTTCTTTCGCCTGCAATGTACTTGTTTCTAACTCGGGCAGTGTGACCTGGCTGCCACCCACCATCTACCGTTCCTCCTGCCCTATCTCGGTCACCTACTTCCCTTTCGATTGGCAGAACTGCTCCCTCAAATTCACGTGAGTCCACCTGAATGTCCCTCAGTCCAAGGCACCCAGCCAGGGCCAGGAGGTGGTGAATGAAACCTCAGGCAGAGGCCTTGGTCCCATGCTGACCAGAATCCCCTCAGGCCGTGGTTCCCCAAGTAGCCCTTCCCCCTCTGCCACCACCTCCTGCCCCAGAAGCCCCATCCAGAGACTCATGGGCACTGCTCTCTCCAGTTCACTCAAGTACACAGCCAAGGAGATCAGCCTTAACCTGATGCAGGTGGAGGAAGACGGTCGTGCCTACCCCATCGAGTGGATCATCATTGACCCTGAGGGTTTCACAGGTACTTCAGAAACCATGGTGGACTGGCCCTGAAGACACATGCACTGTGAGTGTGCACACAGTCACACCAGCACCTCACACACTCACAGCTGGGACACCAGCATATCTATAGGCAGGGACAGACATACACGGTCTATACACCTGCATTTACTGACCCAAAAGGACCTCCAAAAGCAGAGCTGAAGGGAACAGGGATCCTCTCATCACTACTAACCTCAACACACACTGGTGATGCTTGTGAGTTTGGCAGGGTCTCTGAGGACAGATGTGGTTGATACAGGGGTGATTGGGCCTTCTGTACCTGGAGAGCCTGGGGTGTGGCTGGAGGTCCCATGAATGGGTGTAGGCCACCACAGACTGCATCTGTGACTAGCTCAGCTCTGTGGGACTCCCTGCTCAGTTCTGTTCAGCAGAAGAACCCGGATCTTCTGGACTGGACATCCTAGACAAGAGTTCTATACTCATCTAATATCCTCCCTGAGGTCTAGGCCAGGGAAGAATGGCCAAGAAATGTCATTGGAGCTTTGGTTTCTAACTTAGAAGACAGACTCAAAAGGGCATGGTAACACACAAACATGGTAACAACTGTGATCCCAGCACTTGGGAGGCAGAAACAGAACTCCAATTTCAAAGCCAGTCTACACAGGAAGTTTCAGTCCAGTCGGGGCTGTTTCAATAAATACATAAATAAATAAACTAGCAAAACAAAAGGGGGGAAAAAGCCAGTGTGGTACTGTAACCCTAGTACTTCAGAGGCTGAGGTAGGAGGATCATAAGTTCAAAGGCAGCCTTGACTTCATAGTGATACCATGATACCAGCCTGAACTGCAAACCCTAGGACAGAGAACATTTGTTTTAGTTTTCTTTTTAAGTATCACATTTTGTTTACGGTGTGCGTGTGTGTGTGTGTGTGTGTGTGTGTGTGCGCGCGCACGCGCGTGTGCGTGTGCGTGTGTGTGTGTGTGTGTGTGTGTGGTTGTGCACATGAGTTTGTGCACACGATCACACGTGGACAGACATGACATAGCACATTAGTTAAGGTCAGAGAACAATTTGCATGAGTCAGTTCTCTCCTTCCCAGGGTCCCAGAGATTGAACTTATGTCATCAGGCTTGGCAGACACCTTTCGACCCATGGAGCCATCTCTTTGGCTCCTGACAGTGACTTTTAAAAACTCCATCTTTAATTGTCACACAACCTACTTTTGACTTGTAGCTTTAAAAAAAAAATTTACGTATCTATTTTATGTGTGCATGTACATCTGCACTCCAGAAGGGGGCATCTGATCCCATGGCACTATAACTACAGTTATAGTGAGAGGCCATGTGGGTGCTGGAAATTGAACCCAGGCCTTCTGGAAGAACAGCCAAGTGCTCTTAAATGCTGTGCGGTCTCTCCAGCCCCCTGTGATAACTTTTAAGCAAAAATTTATTATTTATTTGAACCCTGTATGGCTTCAGCTGCTTTTTTTTCCCCAAAAAGAAAGAGGAAACAAACAACAAAACATAGAAGAACCCCTCAGAAAAAGTCACAAAGGAAAACCTCTTCCTCAGAGACTGAACTTGCTAGCAACCCCCAGAGAAAGACCCCCCCCCACAGCAACCAAGACTCCTCCATGTCTCAACTCCCTCAGATAGCACCCTAGCCTGCTTTGCTCCACCCTAGCCCTTCATTCTATCCCAAAAGTCCTTGAGCCCATGGGTTCCCTTCTCCAGCTTGATCCCCAGCTGTCCGTATTCCTCCCTCAGAGAACGGGGAATGGGAGATAGTCCACCGGGCTGCCAAGGTCAATGTGGACCCCAGCGTCCCAATGGACAGCACCAATCACCAAGACATCACCTTCTACCTCATCATCCGCCGCAAGCCTCTCTTCTACATCATCAACATCCTGGTACCCTGTGTGCTCATCTCCTTCATGATCAACCTGGTCTTCTACCTGCCAGGCGACTGTGAGTCTCAAGCCCCACTCTCTGTCTCCCTGGCAGCCTCTCCCAAAGCTGCCTAGCTCAGGTGGTCCAGCCCTGCCCTTCTCTTTGTGTGAGGAGAGCGATGGCCCTGGATGACATTGAGTATAAGAACTCAGGCAGGAATGGCAGGCAGGCCTGGCTGATCTTTGGCTCAAGGACTGCATGTTGGGGTTCTGCCAGGATGCCTGGGAGCTTTCCAAGTGTCAGGCTCTGGGCAAACATAATAGTGAGTGATGATCACTTACCCAGTGCTGTGCTTGCAATGCTTTGAGAAACAGGGATTTGGGGTGAGGGTACTTGTCCAGATCTCTCGGCTAATAAGCTGTGGAGCCAGGGTTTAAACCCAGGCACAAACGATGGTTACCATGGCATTGTGAACAGTGGTAGCAGGACCCTGCTGAGGGGCGGACTTTGTGGACTCTGGGTGTGAGCTTCCAGCTAGGACTTACTCTCCAGGTGGAGAGAAGACATCAGTGGCCATCTCAGTGCTCCTGGCCCAATCTGTCTTCCTGTTGCTTATCTCCAAGAGGCTGCCGGCCACATCCATGGCCATCCCCCTGGTAGGCAAGTGAGTATAGGCCTGCCCACACCCAGCCCTGTTCATGCCTCTGCTCTAAGTCCCTAGCTCCAGGTATGGTGTATACCCTCAGGTTCCTGCTCTTCGGCATGGTGTTGGTCACCATGGTTGTGATGATCTGTGTCATCGTGCTCAACATACACTTCCGAACACCCAGCACCCATGTTCTGTCTGAGGGAGTCAAGAAGGTGAGTGTTTGACTAAAGCTGGAAACTGAGTCCTGGCCAGGAGAAATGGTGAGAGTGATGAGTATGTGGAGAAGTCCTAGCCACAGAAGCCCTGGTCCCATTATGCAGAATGAGGACCTGGATCCAATCCTCAGCTCCACTAAACTTTAGACAATAAGGGGCTGGTTAGATGGTTCAGTGGGTTGGAGCACTTGCCACCAAGCTTGGCCACTTGAGTTTGATCCCCAGGACCCATGTGGAATCAGGAGAGGACCAACTCCTGCAGGAGGTAGGGGGCATCTTCACACACACACACACACACACACACACACACAAACACACACACACAAAATAAATGTAATCTCAAAATTAAAACAAAATTAAGAAGCAAATTTTTGGGGGGAGGACACAGAGGAGCTAGTGCTTGGGACAAGGCTATCTCTGTTCTCAGTCACTGCAGGCCAGCAGGCTCTTCCGGAACAAATCTTCAGGATGATGATTCTGTAGCACTTCAATGGCTTTTGTCTTCAGTTGCTTGAAGGGAGAGCTCAACATTTGGACTTCTATTTATTGAGACGGGGTCTTACTCTACAGCTGGTAAAAAAAGGAGGAGGCCTGGGGTATATAGCTCAGTTGGCAGAGTGCTTACCTAGCATGCATGAGGCCCAACACTGAATGTAGACCCAGCCTGATAGCACAGTGAGAGGATCAAAAGTTCAAGGTCATGCTCAGCTGCATTGTGAGTTCTAGGCTAACCTGGGATATATGAGACCCTGACTCAAATAAAGGAAAGGAGGAGGAGGGAGAGGAGGAAGAAAGAGGAGCGGTAAGAAAAGGAGGAGGCTGGGTGTGGCTTGCAGATACAATGTGTGCTCAAACTCTCAATTCTCCTGCCTCAGCCTCTGAATGCTGGGGTTAAAGGTATGCACCCCATCTTCAGTTATTTTTTATTTCTTTTCAGTGACTGAGTTCTGCTCTGTTCTGTGAATGATGAGGGAGATCTGAAAGCATTCTACATGCCAACAAGTGGGGGGTCCTAGAAACATAATGGGGTCAGCCTGGGAGCTATATGTGGCAACCAGGGACATCAGAATGTGTAAAAGCCACTCTCCGTTTGTGGATGACCTGTCTTTTGTCCCCTTGACTGCTAAAGTTCTTCCTGAAGACCCTGCCCAAGATCCTGCACATGTCCCATCCAGCAGAGGAAAACCCTGGCCCCGGGACTCTCATCCGGAGGAGCAGCTCCCTGGGATACATCTCCAAGGCTGAGGAGTATTTCTCCCTTAAGTCCCGAAGCGATCTCATGTTTGAGAAGCAGTCAGAGCGGCATGGGCTGGCCCGGCGCCTCACCACAGCCCGTGAGTTCTGGTAACCTTAGAGCCTGGCCCCTGTGTGGGAAGTGTCCATGGATGGACATCACTCCTGCCCCTGACCAATGTCCACAGGCAGCCCCCCAGCAAGCTCGGAGCAGGCCCAACAGGAGCTTTTCAGTGAGCTGAAGCCAGCTATGGATGGGGCAAACTTCATCGTCAACCACATGAGGGACCAAAACAGCTACAATGAGGTGAGTGACTGGGGCTCACCATGGAGTCAGGTGCCCGAGAAGCATGCAATCAAGAGAACTCTGTCTCCACTCATGCACTTCACACCTCATAAACCCATTTAGACGGAGAGGTGCATGGTGGGTAAGCTTCCCGCGCCGTATGTTCTCCCAGGAAGACAGAGTTCCTTCGTGAACCCCACCTTCATGAACCCCCACCTTCATGAACCCCCACCTTCATGAACCCCCACCTTCGTGAACCCCCACCTTTGTGAACCCCCACCTTCGTGAACCCCCACCTTCGTGAACCCCCACCTTCGTGAACCCCACAGCATTACACGGGGCCGGGAGCAAGCTCAGGGGCCCAAGCGGACACACAATCCTACCCACCAGGACGCATTCCAAGTACTTCTTGGGTCCCTTCTTTCTGCTCAGATGCTCCAGACAGTGTCGGATGTTTATTAAGTTTGCTTTGTTATTAAGTTACTTTTGTGGTACTAGGATTGACTCAGAGCCTTACGTGTGCTGGGAAAGCACTATATGCCACTGAGCTACAGCCCTAGCCCAGCGCCAGACCTTTAACGGCAGCCATACTGGGTTGTCTGCTCTTAAGCAGTTTCTTAACAGCTCTCCATCATATGCTCCTGTTCACACATGGCTGGAAGCAGCCTTGAATGGCTTGGACCTACCTGACCTGATGTCAGCCTGAGGTGGCCCCACAGACGCATAGAAGCCGAGTCTATTGTGCCTCCTTTTCTGGGCACTAATTAGGGGTACAGGCCTACCGTCTGAGGGCCTCCCTCACCTCCATGTGTCTTGGGCCTCCTTGTAGGAGAAGGACAACTGGAACCAGGTGGCCCGCACAGTGGACCGTCTCTGCCTGTTTGTAGTGACACCCGTGATGGTGGTGGGCACAGCCTGGATTTTCCTGCAGGGTGTCTACAACCAGCCCCCACCCCAGCCTTTCCCCGGGGACCCCTTCTCCTATAATGAGAAGGACAGGCGCTTCATCTAGAGCAGGCATGAGTGGACAGTCAGGAAGACAGCAGTCTGAAAATAGCAATTAGTTCCTGGCCTTGACCTTGGGCCTCACTGATGCTGTGTGGCTGGGCTGAGGATAAGGTAGAGAGAGGATCCCTCCCAGGAGCAATTCCTTTCCAAATAAAGGAGGGGAACTTGAGTTGGGCTGAGAGGGGACTTGGCGGGAGGGAGGCCCCAGGGATGGGAGAGACACAAGGGGCTTCTCAGGGGCCAGGGAGGTGACATGGGATTTGCTGCTTGAGAACAGCCTGAGCCTCTTCCCTGCCTGCTCCCTTCCAGGGTTGTCAGAACTGAGTTCCTGTTTCCTTGTCTTTCTTCCCCACCCGCCCCTCAAACTCAGGCTCCCAGTGCCCACCTGGGGCCCAAGGGGGGGGGTCCTCCCTCTCCATTCCCCAGGGCAAGGAGGCTTTCTATGGTAAGGGACTGTCATCTGCCAGCCCTTGATCCCTTGGTCATTCTATCTGGGTCCTTCTGAGAAGCTGGGGACTGCTGTGGAAGGACCATGCTTGGCATCAGTCAAGGCCCCATCAGCCTGAGTCATAAACATTCTAGAGTACCAGGCCTCAGCCCCCCCCAAGGTACCTGTACACCAACTCCCTCCCTCCTTGCCCCCAAATTCCCCAAACCAGGGTTGCCTTACAATATTCAAGATACATTTGTGATAAAGAATTATCGGAAGTTCAAATTCCAATGTGTACCCAGTTGTCTTATTGACTACAGCTGTCCTAAAGGAAGTTTCATTCAGACCTATCCCAAGTCCCATCAGCACAAGAAGACTAGGCCTTCGTACATCTCAAAGCCAACCTCTGGATTCACATCTTGAGGCAGTCCCCGACACTGCACCTGGCAGTTCAGAGTCACAAGTAGAACGAGGTAGAAGTGATGACATGTTCCGTCAAAGAATAACTTCTAAGACAGTGCTGCTCTTGCTGGGCATGGTGGCATATGCCTTTAAACCCAGCACTGAGAAGACAGAGATGGGTGCATCTCTGTAAGTCTGAGACCTGCCAGGGCTATACAGTGAGACCCAGGGCTACATAGTGAGACCCTGGCTCAAAAAAGAAAAAAAAAGACACAGTGGTCTCCCCTCTCACTCTCCCGCTCTCTGTAGGAAGCCAGCTACAGCACTGAGGCTCTACGGAAAAGTCCACCTAACAGCAGCCACGGGGGTGGGTAAACTGGAACGGGGGTCTTTCTGATAGAACATGGTAGGACCTCCAGATAAGAGCTGAGCCCCTTCTGGGTTCTGGACCCTCAGAACTGTGGAGGATAATAATAGTGTTTGGAGTTTGTGGTAATTTGTTTCACTCACAGAATGATCTTCAGTGACCTCCCAATCCTGCCACAGCCTCGGTTTTACCTGTTCTCTTATAATGCTTGGGATGGAGCCCACAGGCCCGCACACGCAAGGCAAGCATTCCCGTCAGTTAGCTGCACCCCAACCCTTAGCTTCAATGTCGTCATCTGCTCTATGCATGAAGTCAGCCCCATTCGCAACGTCATTGTTAACGTTGGATTTGCTCCTTGGGGTAGAAATACCTGTGTTCCAGAAACTTAGGGAACTCTAATAGTCATTTCTTGTCCTGATCCTCATTTGTGGGCTTGGGTTGCAGGACGCGGGCCAGAGAGCTTTGTGCCCAGAACTCCTGCATCCTAGCCTAGCACGGTGGCAGAGAAGAGCCAGGATGGGTGACAGTGGCCCAATCATTCATCTCTTGTTGCACACGTGTAAGGTCATCACAGATCAATCTATTTCCTTAGAGTGAAATGGTGATGCCATTTAATTCTGGCAGTGGCGAGTAAGGTTTTACATCTTGAGATGCGACTGAGAAAAAGAAGACCCATTTCAAGCCCAGGCTGACCCTAATTACATCCAGAGCGAACTGTCTACAAGCTCGAGGTGAAGCTCAGGAAAAGCAGTTTGACCCAACACATACCACAGAAGCATGGAATCCAAGCCTCCCCAGAATTACCCAGCCCTCCTTCCTCATCTGCCCTTGCTGGCTGCTTTCCTCTGCCATTCAGCGGTACTGCTGGAATCCTGCCACGTGGTGGCGCTGCTGGCAGGAGGTCCAACAACTAGTAGGGTCCTCATCCCAACTGAGACTGGATTCTCCAGAGGTAACAACCCCCAAATGCCACACCCATCCAAGGGCAGTTTTTGTGCCTTTCATCAGCACCCTGAGGTGCCATCAGGACTGATCCTCCATGGCTGACTTGTTGCAACCTCTCCTTGTGGCCCAGGATGTCACAGTCATAAAACAGCTTTCCAGGAGGCAGTAGGGAAACCCTGTACTGCCCAGTGCAGAAGAGCTGTCACTCTTCTCAATGGGTAGCACATCGGTTATGAGTGAACTAGACTTCAGGGACAGAATGCAATGAGCCACAGCCACATTCTAAGCAAGCAGGTGTCCTTTTCCTCACATAGTGAGAATCTACAGGTAGCAATGGTTACCCTGGATCAGTTGCCAAAGAAAGAAATAAAAAGCAACTAGAGACCCAAATTCTTGACTATCCACCTAGACTGACTCTCATATCCCACTGGCCTTATTACTCACGTTTGCTGTCTGGGTGGGGAACTGGCTGCCACAGTTCCGTACCTTGTATCTATGGTCTGGCAGGAAAGGAGCCTCCATTTATCACTCCCTTTATCATGAAGCAAAACTTCCCCACCAGCTCAGGTGGTGGAGCAATTATCTGGTGTCCACAGAGCCCTGGATTTGGTCTCCAGCAGCACTGTGTCAACCCCGGCCTGGTAATCCTGGCAGTTGGGAAGGCAGAGGCATGAGGCTCAGGACTTGTTCCTTAACTACATGGCTGGCTTGAGGTCATGGGCTACACAAGACTGTGTCTCCAAAAGTTAATTCATTAATTACAAAAAAAATGTGGGCTTTGAAAAAAATGACAGGAGGCAAGTGATACAGCTCAGTGAACAAAAACTTTTGCCACAAAAGTCTGATAATTTGAGTTTGATTCCCCGCAAACCCACATAAAAGTAGAAGGAAGTAAAATGCTGTCTGGACCAGGTGTGGCAGCGAACACCCTTAATAAAAGTCAGCATTTGGGAGACAGAAACAGGTGGATCTTTGAGTTTGAGGCCTGTCTGGTCTGCAGAGTAAGTTCCAAGGCATCCAAAGCTAGCCAGAGAAACCCTGCCTTGAAGAAAAATTGTTGCTTTCTGACCTACACACACACACACACACACACACACACACACACACACACACACACCATGGCCATGGCATGTGCAAGGTCCCTCATACACATAATCATACAATGATAATATAAACTTTAAAAAAAAACTTCTCATGAACCCCTGGAGCATCTTGTCTTAGTTAGCGTTTCTGTTGCAGTGATCAACACCATGATCTAAAGCCTTGGGGACGAAGGGTTTACTTCAGCTTACAGTTGTAGTTTATCACAGAGGGAAGTCAGGCTAGGAACTCAAGGCAGGAACCTGGAGTTAGGAGCTGAAGCAGAGGCCATGGAGGAGCACTACTTACTGGATTTTTTTGTTCACAGCTTGCACTCTTACACAATTCAGAACCATCTGCCCAGGGGTGGCATTGCCGTCCCTGAGCTGGGCCCACTCACATCCATACCATAATCAAGAAACTGCTCTGCATACTTGCATACAATCTGGATGGAGGGATTTTCTCAACTGGGTTTCCTCTTCCCAGATAATGCTGGCTTGTGTCAACAGTAAACAAACATGCAAACAACAACAAACCAGGCTCCTCCGTGAACCAACGTAGTCATGTAATGATTTGACCCGTGAGAGGTGAGCCATATCTTCAAGTTCAGAATCCAGAAATTGAGCGAGTCACAGACTGAAAATGTGTGGATGAAAACTGTGTGCCTGGGTTGTACACAGCCTTTTCCTTGTTCTTATTCATTGATGGATAAAGCACGACAACCATTTGAACAGCACTGACACTACATTAAGAACTGACTCCCCATGGTACTGAGGATGAGGTGTCACTAGTCAGAGCTTCCAGCCTTTGTAACAGGTGGGTGGCAAGAAAGAAGCAGCTGGAACAGAGACCCGCACACGTGCTTCTCTCTTAGTTAGCTTTCCCTCTCCACCCCGCACTCTCCCAGGAGACTCCACCCCTCCAAGGTGACTTGCCCTGCACAGAATGACAAGCCAGCTCCCAGACCTCTGTCCCAGAGCCCAGAGGGGAGTGGAAACAAGCAGAAGTGACAGTCGTCACAGGCAGGAAGGCATCCCAATACATGCTGGGTGTGGGGGAAGCAGTCTTACACGCTCCCTTTTCTCTCCCAGACTTTTGTGGCAAGGAAGGGGTGGGCATGGCTAGAGGAATGGAGATGGCCACTGCCCACACCACTTCCTGACTACAGAGACCATTGAGCATCTTTGGCAAAGGTTGGCCAGATGGAAGCTGAGTCAGAGACACCGATGTCCAAAAAGATAATGAAGGAAGTGCATTTGGGGGACACCAGATAGCAAATGAGAGGACCAGAGGCTTCTGCGGTAAACAGCAACCTCTGGCTTTGGACTGTCCTGGAAAGTGTCTCCAGGGTGTTTAATGAGTGAATCTTTGCGGGAAAACAGGAGCTTTCGGAGGAAACAGGGACCCAGAGCAGAGCTGGCACCAAGGACAAGGTAACTCAGTGGAAGAGGAGTCAGTTCGAGAGATGATGGAAAAAGACAGGTGCTCCCACAACTCCCTGCCCCCGCCCGCAGAGTCCCGGTGAGACATGAAGGACTTGAGGCCCTTCAGGGGACTGAGTTCTGAGCCTGACTTCTCACTTCTAAAACACACTGCAACGTCAGAGACATCCAGTGGGGCCGGGGGGACAGTCTCCTAGGCATTCAGAGGTGTCCAGTGCCCTACCCTGCCTAGGGCAGCTCACATGTGGTAGCACTTAGGGGCCAAATACCAATACACAGTGACCGGACTGCTTGTAATAACTGACCACATGACAGGTGGCCCAAGTAGTGACACAGCCAGCAGCAAGTCCCTACTCCTAGGTCAGCCTCAACCCCACCCTTTGGTGGTGCTAAGCCTAAAAGCAGATGGGGTTCACTCCCCAGTCCTTCTTTCCCCTGTGGTCTCTGGGGGAAACATCCTAAGTCTGGCCTTCCTGCCCCAGTGACCCACAAGTCTCCTAAGCAGCTTGACACATCCCTGGGTCTCCCCAACCTCACCCAGGACCTGCCGTTACCTGTCTGATAATTTTATGAACTGCAGCCTCACTGACAAGCCACTGCTCACAGGTGGCCTAGTTACAAGACCCCCCCCCCACATTCCAGATCCTTCTCAGCCCTCCTAATCCCAGTGCTTGCTGGGTCTGTGTCTCCTGTCTCAGGGCATGGGAGAAGTTGCCATAGTCCCCTTATTGTCAATGCCACAGCCTTCTGATATACACGCAGCTTTCCTCTCCATTCTGTTGCCTATGGCCCACATGCCTCCCAAGATACAGACCTACTCACTTTTAATAAAAACAGGATATGACACTGTCAAAGGCTAGACACTCTGTAGGTATTTGATTCCTGTGTCTCGGTCCAGTGGAGTAAGTGAGTGACCCACAGAGGCAATGGGCTACCGGGAAAGGGCAGAGATACTGAGTTAAGTCATGAGGAGCCCCATGTATAAATCACATCTACCCAACACCTTCACACCTCCCTGAGACAGAATGACCAATCAGCCGCCACCAGCCTCCTCAGCACCACCTCCCAATCCATCTGCCCTTGGCCATTTGTTGAGTCTCCTATCCGGAAAACTAGGCACACAACGGAAGCCACTAAGTTTGAGAGTGGGCTGTCTCTGTTGAGACAGTTTTGAGAGCCTGTCTCTATTGGGACCATTCCATCCCTCTTCCCCTGGCTGGCCCAGGTAATCTGAGCCCAGATTGTACATATCCTGCAACAGCTGACAATGCTGTGGTCAGACAGCTGGTGGGGCCAGCTGGAGCTGGCAGGGATGGCTGGGATGGGAATGTAGGCTGACACATGACACCCCAGCCCACCCTACCCCATCCCCCAGACCTGGAGAGGTACTGTCCCACCCGTCGCTGAGCAGAGCAGAGGCACCATGCACGGAGGCCAGGGACCTCAGCTCCTCCTGCTGCTGCTGGCTATCTGCCTGGGTGTGACACAAGGGGATTTTGAGACCTAGGGTGGGCATGTGTGTGTGGAAGGGACAGGTCAGGAGTGCAAGTCTACAGTGATGGAGCTTCTGGGGGTTATCTGTGCTCTCCCCAGCACCCCAAGTCTTCACATTGTTCCTCTGTGCCTCCCACTCCTCTGGAATGAGTCTCCCTGTCTGTTGCAGGGGCCCAGAGCATCAACCAAGAGGAGCGCCTGCTTGCTGACCTGATGCGAAACTACAACCCCCATCTGCGACCCGCTGAGCATGACTCAGATATTGTTAATGTCAGCCTGAAGCTTACCCTGACCAACCTCATCTCCCTGGTGAGCTGCAGAAGGGGGAGATGATGGACACTAGGCTCCTCTGGGAGGGAAGGCATAGGGGATTTAGCCCTTTCTTCTGTACCCCAGAATGAGCGAGAGGAGGCCCTCACAACCAACGTCTGGATAGAAATGGTAAGAAGCCACCTAGTGTATCTTTCTGCCTATTTCAGTTGTCATTGTTCCTGCCCTCCTGCCCTGTCCTCTGCTCTCTGCCCAACCTCTTGGGCCCTCTAGGCTGGCCTGCCATTCCCCTGTGTAGCCCAGGGCAGAGGCCTGGCAACTGCCTCTTCATCTATAGCAATGGTGTGACTATCGCCTGCGCTGGGACCCACAAGACTACGAAGGCCTGTGGATACTGAGGGTGCCATCCACCATGGTCTGGCGGCCAGATATCGTGCTGGAGAACAAGTGAGGAGGGGACTTGGGCAGGGAATGAAGGATACCAGGGTCCAAGGGGATGAGGAAAGTTGGAGAAAGAGAAAGGAGAGAAGGGTTCTGCAAGGCGCCAGGCTGAGGGTGGGACCCCGAGCATAGATACTGGTCCAGGGCACCAGACTTGACTCTAATCCTGGCTTCCTGTAATGCATTAGCTTGCAATGAATGGGCTTTTCCCATCCTTGCAATCAGGGGACAATTTTAACAACCAGAGAAATGGTGACAGGTCATCACAACAGACATAAAAATGGTTCGTTCAGGGTGAGGTACTCTGCAAGAGCTTGATAGTGTTAGCTAATTTGCCATTGTTGTAGTTATTAACACTGAGAAAGAGGAGATCACAAGGTGGTTGTGAGGGCATTGTCTCTCCCAGCCCTCTGTCCTCATCTCAGGTCCAGAGCAGAGGTGACCAGGAGGTTGCTGGGGTGGTGCATGAGTGATACTAGATGAGGGCCCATCAGGAGTGTGGCAGTCTGGGGACCGGCGCCCCTAAATCCCATCCATGCAGGCAGACAGCTGGTGTGGGGCTGTGGGATCTCTGCCCACAGCTCTATGCACTGGCCTGTGCACACAGTGTGGACGGTGTCTTCGAGGTGGCCCTCTACTGCAACGTGCTCGTGTCCCCTGACGGTTGTATCTACTGGCTGCCGCCTGCCATCTTCCGCTCCTCCTGCTCCATCGCTGTCACCTATTTCCCCTTCGACTGGCAGAACTGCTCACTCATCTTCCAGTGAGACCACTGATGGAGCTGGGGAGCTTCAAGGGAGCTAGAGGGGACTGGGTAGAGGTGGGGGACCAGCATCAGAGGCATCTCAAGGCCCGGTGGCCTGGATCCATCATCTGCACTTATTCAGGTGGTGACACCTGAATGTGTCCTCCTGCTAAGTCCTCTCACCCATCCCCCCTCATTGCTCCAGTTTCCTGCCTCTGTCCCAAGGGGAGACACTAATGTCTGGAGTGCATGGGTAAGATCACACAGGCATGCCTGCATACACGTAGAGCCGTAGACAGGCAGGCTGTCCTGGAAAAGAGAAGCCTGGCCAAAGCCAGCATGTGACCCAAGCCACGCCTGGGATCTCTAGGTCTCAGTTCTCTCTTCCATAATCAGGGAATGGGGGTCTTGGGAGGAATTGGCAGGACTCCAAGAGGTCTTCAGAAGTTGACATGATCCCAAGGGTCCTCTTATGGTAGGCTTGTATTTATACCCTATGGTCTTTGGTGGCAGTAGGAGGGACAAAATGTCCCTGAACCCTTTGACCAGGCCATAGCACTGAGCGCCAAAGAGCCTGTGTTCCCCTGCATGCGATCACTGGGGCTTGATGGAGTGTGACACTGCATATGCCAAAGCCCAATGCCCACAGCTGCCTTCAGATGACTGTGTCTGTGACACTATGAGCAGCCCCCCCTTGCTTCACTGTACCCTCTTTCCACTCCTGACCACAGGTCCCAGACCTACAGCACCAGTGAGATCAACTTGCAGCTGAGCCAGGAAGATGGACAAGCCATTGAGTGGATCTTCATTGACCCCGAGGCTTTCACAGGTAACCCCATCCGGGAACTGCTGCCAGACCACGGTCATGCCCTCTCACATACCCCAAGATGAAAACTGCAGTGTATCATAGAATATGGTTTTCAAAAGACCCCAACAGAAAGGCAGGTATGGTTGCACGTGTATGTGACCTCAGTTGTCCATAGGATTCAAGTCTGAGGTTAGCCCAGGCTACACAGTGAGACCACCTTTAAAGAAAAAGGCAGATCTGGGAAGATGGCTATGTGGGGTAAAGCACTTATGCACATACATGAAGACCAGAACTCAGGTCCCCAGAGCCCACATAAATACTGGTTATAAGTGGCAGCCCACCTATAATCCCAGCACAAGGTAAGCAGAAATAAGGGATTCCCAGAGCAAGGTTCTGGGTTCAAGTGACAGACCTTGATTAAAGGTAAAGAGTGATTGAGGAAGGCATCTGACATCAACCTCTGGCTTCCATGTATATATACACACAAACACACCCATACATCACACATACACCCATACATCACACACACACACACACACACACACACACACACACCACATATACATGCAAAAAAAGGATCCAATGAAGCTCTGGCTTTTTCTACAATAATCACTCTAATTCTGGGAGGGGGAATCAATATTCAATCTCCCATTCCATTTGTGTCCCTGTGTATTGGTGTTTAATGAGGTAATGCTGCCCCTATGAGTTGGTTGTTCAGGCCATACATTCTCTCCACAGAGAATGGGGAATGGGCCATCCGACATCGACCAGCCAAGATGCTGCTGGACCCTGTGGCCCCAGCAGACGAGGCAGGCCACCAAAAGGTGGTTTTCTACCTGCTCATCCAGCGCAAGCCCCTCTTCTATGTCATCAACATCATCGCCCCCTGTGTGCTCATTTCCTCTGTCGCCATCCTCATCTACTTCCTTCCCGCCAAGGGTACCTGGCCTGTGGGAGGGCGGCGGCACATAGGCCCACGGGGGTGGCCCGTCCTGATTATGGCACAGGGTGGTGCCACAATCCTAGGACCAGGGTAGTGGGCTCCCTGGAGGGTAAGGGAGCTCCTTAGGGTGTGTATGGGGGACCCGCTCTGAGGGCATCTTGGTCATGGGCAGCGGGAGGCCAGAAGTGCACAGTGGCCATCAACGTTCTCCTGGCCCAGACCGTCTTCCTTTTCCTCGTGGCCAAGAAGGTGCCTGAGACCTCCCAGGCAGTGCCGCTCATCAGCAAGTAAGGCTGGTGCTGCTTATAGCCCCTCACCACCCATGCAGGGGTGGAACCATGGCCTTGCTAAGCAAGTGTCCTGCCAGTGGACTATATCCCCTTTACCCCCTTCCCTTCCTGAAACGATTGCCATGACCTTCCACCAGGGGACCTGAGGGAAGCAGGGTGGGTGGCACCCGGGTGTGAGGTGCCTAAGGGACACCCAGCCTCCTGCTTGCCTGACCCTGGACAGGTACCTGACCTTCCTCACGGTGGTGACCATCCTCATCGTCGTGAACTCTGTGGTCGTGCTCAATGTGTCCTTGCGCTCCCCACACACACACTCCATGACCCGGGGCGTCCGCAAGGCAAGGCACCTCCCTGTCCACCATCCATCCGTCCTTCCCAATCCCATGTGACTCCCGCCACATCCCTGTCCCTCCTCCCTAATTCAGCAGCAGACCTGTGCCATATATATTGCAGGCCTAAAGTAGGCAAGTGATAATGTCAGTGCCCAGGAATGTATTACATGTACCGACTTCTTTAACACACACAAAATCCCTTGAGAGGATATCGGTGTGTCATCTCCATTAAACAGATAGGGAAATCGAGACCCAAAGAAGTAAAGCAGCTTACCCCTATTACCCAGTCCCTAGAAAGCAGAGGATTCTGTCCCAGCTGCCTGTGTGCTCTGCAGCCCACCTGGAGCAGACAGCTGAGAATCGTGTTATAAAAGTAGATTTCCTAGGTGCATTCCAGTAGTCTAGTGTATTCTACCAGGGGGCGGAGGGTAAGAGTCTGTTTGAGAGAAAAAAGTGCCCTGGTGATTCTGAAGGTCACAAAAGCTTAGAGCTCAGGTTCTGTGTCCAGGAGAAAGCAGTCAAGCTGTACCGGGACCCAGCTGCTGCCCCTAGGGCACTGCCTTCATGCCCATCTCCTGCTTGTGTTCCCAAGCTTGGCCTGGCTGCCAAGCAGGGCCTACCAGAGCAACCCCTCTACAGGTGTTCCTGAGGCTCCTGCCCCAGCTGTTACGGATGCACGTGCGCCCACTGGCCCCTGCTGCTGTCCAGGATGCCCGGTTGCAGCTCCAGAATGGCTCCTCCTCAGGGTGGCCCATCACAACTCGGGAGGAAGGGGGCCTCTATCTCCCTCGCAGTGAACTCCTCTTCAGACAGAGGCACCGCAATGGACTGATGCAGGCAGCACTGGAGAAGCTAGGTGAGGCCCAAGGGGTGCCACTGGGGACAGCACTGTCCAGTTAATGCATCGAGCTGGACAAGGCGCATAAGTGCTGGGCAAGTGTTCAAGTTGGAGAGAGGGGCCGGGTCTCTGGAGAGAACCCACATCCCTGCCAGCTCTCTTCTGCTGACCATGTCCCTATCAGAAAGCGGTCCACAAATGAGACAGACGCTGGAGTTGTGTGGCAACCTGAAGCAAGCCTCCCCCGCTATCCAGGCCTGTGTGGAGGCCTGTAACCTCATGGCTCGTGCCAGGCGCCAGCAGAGTCACTTTGACAGTGTAAGCTCCGGCACAGTGGGCGAGTGCCCTAGTGTAATATGGGGACAGGGTGAACGGGGTGTCCAGCTTAGGTTTGGGGGTGGAAAGGGCAGAGCTGGGAAGTGTGGGGAGTGATCACTGGGACAGAGACCATGGAAGGAGACAGGCTGGTACTTACGGGTGAGAGGGCTGAAGATCAGAGAATGGAGGCCAGGGGTGGACATAACAGTAAAAGACGGAGTCAGACTAAACGCTGCCCCTGGTCACACCGCTCCCCCACAATGTGTTGTTGCCCTCAGGGGAATGAGGAGTGGTTCCTGGTGGGCCGAGTGCTGGACCGTGTCTGTTTCCTAGCCATGCTCTCCCTCTTCGTCTGCGGCACTGCTGGCATCTTCCTCATGGCCCACTATAATCGGGTGCCTGACCTGCCATTCCCTGGAGACCCCCGCCCCTACCTGCCTTTGCCAGACTGAGCCAACCAATCACTCCTGGGCCCTAGAACCAGCTGCATGGGCCATGCTGTCCACAGAACTGTATTCTGTGTTGGGATTTTGAGTGTCCTCCGTGGGAAGTACGCAAACATCCCTGGGAAGAGAGAAAGGAATAAAGAGCAGAGAGGGAGTTCTGGAGTGGTTGGCGATGGGTGAGGTCATTCATGACTTTGGGACCAGCATCCCTGTGGCAATGGATGGCTCCTGCAGATACCAGTCTTCCACTTTCTACATCCCTGTCACTTTAGCAGGGCATTACTGACTCCCAGGCACTTGGAAGCCCTTCGGTTTTTCATAATGCCCTTGGCTGGGAAAGATCTTAGCCTTTGAGGCCTGAAAACATTTCCTCCTGCCTTTTTTTTAAGAAGTGTATTTGATATTTTTAACTAGATGTTCTATGGGTGTGCTGGGAGTGGGTTGTGTGCACGAGTGAGGGTTCCCGTTGGCGGCCAGCAGAGGGTGTCAGCACCCTGGAGTTGGAGTTATAGGTGGTAGTGAGCAACCAGACAATGGATGCTGGGAACTGAACTCATGTCCTCTACAAAAGCAAGTGTTCTTAACCACTGGACCATCTCTCCAGCTCCAACATCTTCCTTTTTGTGGATTTTCTCAGGAAGACAGTTGGTAGGAGATGCGGGAACGCTCCTAAAAAAAGAGAACCAATCAATGCTGGGGGTGGGGGTGGTGCACACTCGGGAGGCGGAAGGCAGAAGGATCTCTGTGAGTTTGAGGCCAGCCTGGTCTACAGAGTGAGTTCCAGGACAGCCAGGGCTGTTACACAGAGAAACTCTGTCTCAAGTCCTAACCCCCCCCCCAAAAAAGAAGAGAACCAGTGCTGGGTGTGGTGGGACACACCTTTAATTCTAAACACTAGGGAGGCAGATAAAGCCAATCTCTGTGATCTTGGAGCCAGCCAGGGCTACATACTGAGACTCTGTCTCAAAAAATGGGGGGAAGGGGTGGTGGAGATAACTCATTGGTTAAGAACACTGGATATTTTCCCAGGGGATTTGGGTTCCATTTCCAGCACCCACATGGTAGTTCATAACCACCTGTAACTCCAGTTCTAGGAGATTCAAAACCCTTTTCTGGCTTCTGCAAAACACACATGGCCGTGGTGGTGCATAGACATAGGTGTAGGCAAAACACCCATATACATAAAATGAAAATAAACCTTAAAAAAAAAGTAGTAGGAGCTAGCGTCGTGGAAGGTAAATGTGGAGTTTTGGCTTAACAGTATAGCCCATTTCAGCTCACTGTACCACAGCCTCAAATACACCTTCAGAGATAACTTCCCATTCATTTGCTGTAATAGCCCCCCAATCAATCACAGAAGATTAAGTTTTATCATCTCTTTCCATTGTTGGAAATTCTTCACATTATGGACAAGCAAGGCATCCACCTGACCCACATTTCATATGAGCAGGTTGGGGTCCAGAATAAAAGGAACCCTCTAGAATACTCATTTAGGGTCCAAATTCCCATCTCTGACCCGATCTCAGACACTATTAGGAAGATTCCAAGCCTGAAAGTGCACCTTTCTTTGCCTCTCTCCTCAAAAGCCAGGGCACGTGGAGGGCTAGGGCTGGGCCGGGCCTGACAGGAGATCGCCCTCAGCTTCCCTTGTACAATGTTATCGGGGAAACGGGATGATCCCTTGAGGTCTAATTGGGAAATTAAACGTGGCCTTACTGAGTGACCAGGGGACAACCGTGGGCGGGTCCACGGAGACGGGACCACACCTGTAAATACAGGCATAAACATCGATTTCTGCCTCTTCTCACTTCTAGCAATGGGACGTGTTCAGCAGCAAACGGATCAGAGAGGATGCACAGCTAGTGGTTTTGGAGATCCATTACCACAGGGAATTTTTATTTAGCGCTGTGATGTTTGGGCCAGTCGTTAGGAGTGTGGGGGCAAAGGCTGAGGAGGCTACCGCATAAGTGAGGCCATCTGGGTTCTCGGCAAATGTCTTTTAAGTGTGTCACCCTAGCGGGGAGGGTCTCAAACTCTCTTGGTCAGGCTGGTCTGGATTTTCCTGCCTCCACTTCCCAAGAGACAGGGTAACGAATTTGTTTGGAGTAGTTTCTCGTCCTCCACAAACATCAAGAACAAAGAATCAACATTCAGAAATGAACTTGGTACCATTTACTAAGTGTTATTGTGCTGACGTTTCCCCCGCAACCCACGGGGAGGTTAAAGCAGATGGCCGGCTACAACAGCGCTCAAGGCCCTCACGAAGGGGACCGAGAGCAAGCCGGCTTGGACAACCCGGGCCGCGTCTGGCGCAGGGACCGGGTCGCCCGTCAGGGAAAGAAGCCCCGCACCCGGCCTGCGCGCCAACGTTCCGCTAAGAGTCTTGCCAACCGGAAGTAGCCGGGCTCTTGACGAAGGGACCGGGCAGAGCGGAAGTCACTCCGTGAGGCAGTGGCGACAGCGGCGGCGAGAGGATGAACAACAAGTTCGACGCGTGAGTGGCGCGTGGCCGCCCCCGGGGCCCCTTCCCCCAACCGTCCCCCGGGACCGCTCCCGCCGGGGCCGGGCGCGCACTCAGCCGAGCCGCTCGCTCCCGGGCCGCCGCGGCCCGAGCCTCCCTGCGCCCGCGGGCCCGACGGGGCCGGGAGAGCGTGGCCGAGGTCGCCGGGACCCCTGAGCCGCTGGACCCCGGCGTGGCGCGGGCCGGGGGAGGGGAGGCCGCACCGCCCGGAAGGAGATTTTCGGACGCCCCGCCCTGGTGGGTGCGGGCTGCCGGCGGCGTGGAGGGGCGGGACCTCGGCGCTTCGGGTGTTTCCGCAGCCTTGCTCCCTTCTTTCTGAAGCGGCTTCCCTCCCGCACCCGCTCTGCGTCCTGGGAAGGTCACCTCTCCCTTCTGAACCTCGGTTTTGTCTTCTGCAAGCGGGAACGGTAACAGAGCCCGTGTCGTAGCGTTGGGCAGCTGCGATGAGGTAATGGGGCAGCCGCGCTGAGTACTGTGGCCTCTTGAGTACGGAATGCTTTTCATCTGAGATTCTTACTGCTTCCTTCCCATCCACCCCCCCCCCAGTTCCTGTCTTCCAACTCTTAGTGACTGCCCACTCCTGCATTCTTCTCTAGTACCCACTCTTTTCCCTGATTCCCGAATCGAACATTTAGGAAGTACAGACAAGAAATAGGAAGGTGTTTGGGGGCAGGCATTCCCCCTTAACAACGATTGTATCTTTTTGCATTAGAAAGTAATTCTCGTTCCGTTTAACAGCACTCACAGAATTGTACCTTTCGGTAGTGCCCCCTTGTAGTGCGCCCTCCTTTCTCCTACAGTAATCTAATCTGTCTTCCCTTTCATTTCAAAGACTGCATTTTTTAGTTGTAGGCCCACCAAGTGTTTGCCGGTACAAAAACTCTTAGGTGTGAACTCTTGCTCTAACCTCCCTAGTGGTTAGAACCCGCCTGGGAGGATCGGAGCGCACTCTGCAGTGCTGAGAGGGACTTGTGAAACGGACAAGGAGGTGTGAAGGTAGAACGGAACCACCAACAGGCAGGTGGCGAGGCTGCGGCGTTTCTGATGTGTATGCTCAGGAAGTACTGGGATTCCAGCAGGCAAGGCAGCTCTTGACAGATTTTCGTAGTGGCCGAGTGAACGCTGCTTTTTTGAGAAAGGCAGGTGTCTTCTCCATCTTGCTGCTTTGCTGAGCGCAGGAGGATAGCAACCCCTCTGGCCTTCCATCCTAAGCCCTGCAGTACCTAACTCCAGACTGACAGCCCTTCCACCCTCCTCTCCTTATTTGAACAAATCAGATTGTGTCCCAAAAAGATAGTTTTTAAGTCATCTATCTCAAATAAAGGTAGTTACATTGGCCACTGTTTTAGACACTCTTCTATTGCTGTGAAGACACACCATGACCAGGACAGCTCTTAAGACTTGTTATCTCCTGCAAGGCCATACCTTCTAATCCTTGTAATCCTTTCAAAGAGTTCCACTCCATGGTGACAAAGCATTCAAATATGTGAGCCTATGGGGCTAGTCTCATTCTAGCCTGCCCAGCTGCCCACAGGCATTCTTTTTTAGGTTGGCATAAAGTTAACAGGTTCTGTTATGACACCTTCATACTTATGTATCATTACTTCATTCTCATTCTTTTCCCTACTGTGCTCCCCCAGGGTCCCTTTCCTCTAACTGACTCCCTTCTAGTTGCTTCCCCCTTTCTGCTTTCTTATTCTATTGCCCTTTATTTCCCACTGTCTTCTTTATAACTCTGCAAAGAGATCTTTATATCTTACAGTTAAGGGAAATGAGGCTCTTCCAGGCTAAGTAACTAGTGCAAGATAGCCTAAAGGGCCAGCTCAGGGTTGCTCTTCAACTTTGCTCATGAGTTTATCAACATTTTGTTGGGTGGTTTTAATTACTTGTAACTATTCGCTGTTGTAAAGAGTTGGGTCTTTTAGTGCCTGCCTTCTAACTTTGCAGGAAAAACAAAACAAAAATAAGACTTTGGTTTCATTTGAAATTAGCAACCAAAGACCATACCCTTGCCCCTAGTTTTGGTTTTGTCATTTCAGGTTTTCATGTGAAAAGCCTGGAGTTTGTAGACTGTTTGGAGTCTGCACTCTTCATCACATCCCCCTGAAACTTTCTAGAGTCATGCTCAAGGTGCAGTCTCCAGTAAGTGCAGTAGTATGATCTGATGGACCACAGGTTAATGAGGAGCTCTGACCTTTAATATGTGGGCTCTGTTTCTGTCCAGTGTAACCAAAGCTGGTAATGGCTTTAAAGGGTGCTCATTAGACTCTCCAATTCTCTAGATCTAGTTGCCTTTCTTGTTATTAGCATGTAAAACCCTAAGATGTTCTCTCAAGAACTACAGTACCAACTGTGGTAAACTTGGTTTTCAGATCCTGCATTTTTGGAGACCAGGATTAGTCTAGTCTGTGTTATATCATAAGCTTTTGGCCCTTTTTTTTTTTTTTTTTTTGGTTTTTCAAGACAGGGTTTCTCTGTATTGTTTTGGAGGCTGTCTTGGAACTCACTCAGTAGACAAGGCTGGCCTTGAACTCACAGAGATCCGCCTGCCTCTTCCTCCCAAGTGCTGGGATTAAAGGCTTGTACCACCAACGCCCGGCCCATTCTTAAGTGTTTGTAGACCACCCAATTTGATATCGTTGTGATTTTGAAGATCCATTAATTAAGCATGTTTGTTTTATGTTTGTGGCTGATGCTAGAGTCCAGTGGATAATTAGATCAAGTTCCTACCTGAACAGAATTAGTTCAGAAGGTGTTGGGAAATACCCGGACAGAAGCTTGAGCTAACCCAAGTGTCACTTAGACTGGGCATAAATCAGGCAGCTTGAGTCTGAAGTGCTGCTCTCTCAGTGTGACTGTACCTTGGCTCGCATCCAGCTGCAAACCTGGAAGAGCAGCTTCTGAAAGGTAGGTTGTAAAACTTTTGCCTTAGCCGGGTGTTGGTGGTGCAAGCCTTTAATCACCCCACTCAGGAGGCAGAGGCAGGTGGATCTCTGTGAGTTCAAGGCCAGCCTAGTGTATAGAGCAAGTTCCAGGACAGGCTCCAGAGCAATACAGAGAAACCCTGTCTCGAAAAACAAACAAACAAACAAAAAAAACCTTTTGCGTTAGGTGTAGGTGCGGAGGGCAGGTTATTTAGTTAACTTCTCCTTCAAGAAATGAAAGCAGACAGGACATAGTGGTGCACACCCTTGAGCCCAGCACTGAGAGGCAGAGGCAGATGT